AATTCCGCAATGGGCTGCAGGCGACAACCGCAGGCGACACTGCGGCTAGCACCTGGGGCTAACCGTGCATTATAATTATGCATTGTGCAGCCGCGGAATGTCGCCGCGCTCAGAATCTATTTCATAGAGATTCATAGAAACTAGTAGTGTCGCCTGCAGTTTGCAGCTGGTGGTCTGGGGTTCAGATCGGACTTGTACCTTAAAGTTTGAATAAAGTGTACTTTCACCAATCAATCAGGCTGCTACCTAGTAGGTTTTGCAAATGGTGCAATCAAAGCAATTATTTTGAAAAAAATTTTTTTTGTTAAGCGGGTCTCTCTCTACTAGGAGGTCACAGATTAAATAATCTGTCCAAATAAAGCATCCATGAACAAGGCAAAGGTCTTTTTAGGCGTAAATTAAAAACAAAACAGCGAGCGGCGCGGGAAATTGATATTGGCTACTAGAGCTGCCACGGACTGTTGAGGTCTTTCTGCGACCGGCAGCTCTAGTAGCCATGGACTGTTGAGAGGTAAAAACCAAATAAGAATAATTATGGGTAAATTAGCGAATAACGATTCACTGTTTACCAAAAATGCTAAAAGACTTTTACAAAATAAGCAAAGAAACCTATAACATACTTTATTTTTAAATCTTTACTAGTCTGGGCCATATATAATGTTACATGAAAACTTTTCATTTTTTTTTTTAATTATTTTGGATTTGAAACCTGTATATTATTTTAAAAACTTCTTTCAATTTTACATATATTTTCGTGTTAATTATCAAATTACAATATGGAATGGGGTGTTAAAGAAAATAGGATTGCAGTGATCGCCTTGCACAATGTGGGTATGGAGCCGTCGGTCATATTCTAGACACTTCAAAAGCTTGGTATCATTGTTCGTATATCGTACTATGAACATTGCACTAAGCACGAACCAATATCGAATTCGAATAGTTTGCGAGTTCGAAATGACTTCGTCTGTCGAAGACCAGAAAAGAATGGGGCGGCCGTGTATTGTTAGAACTACAAAGGCTGTTAATGCTGTTAAAGCCAGAATTCGTCGAAACCCCATTAGGAAGCAAAAAATCTTATCGCGAGAAATGAAGATTCCCTCTAGGACTCTGTCGCGTATAATAAAACAAGACCTGAAGCTCGGTGCTTATCTTCGATATACAGGACCTAAATCCAAATCCTAAATTAATCTTTACAATTAAAGAGAAGAAGAGAAAGGATCATCAAAATGCCTTCTGTCGCGATACGCAGGTGAAAAGCACAGAAATATCCTCTTTACCGTTGAAAAAAATCTCACGATTGAAGAACTCTAAGAATAAGAAAAATGATAAAATGTACGCTCACAGTTTTAAAGAAGCTGCTCAAGTGGTCGAAAAGCTACAACGTGGTCATTATCCTGCGTCAGTGATGGTTTGGTGGGGCGTGTCTTATTAAGGAGTCACAAAACTACATTTTTGTGAAAAGGAGTGAAAACTTCAGTGAAACTGTTACAAAATACAGTCTCTCAACAAAACACTTTTTAAAAATATACCGTGGACTTTCCAGCAGGATTTTGCGCCTGGTCACAAGGCATATAACCCAAGCCTGGCTTGAAACCAACGTTCCGGAATTTATAAGAGCTGAAGACTAGCCCTCATCTAGCCCAGACCTCAACCTAAAGGGACTTCAAATTATGGCCTGCTCCAAACGACACGATGACATTGAGTCTCTTAAAAAATCTTTGGAGCAAGCTGTGGCGAAATTGCTCTTGGAAACAGCGCGTAAATCCATAGACAAACAGATTGAAGGCATGTAAAAAGCCAAAGGTGGCCATTTTAAATAGAAGTTTTTTTTTATTTTTTGCTGAGACTTTAATAAATATGCAGGTAATAAATTTAAATAATGTTACATTACTGCATTTAAAGAAATGCTTTTTCATTTGTAACAGAATTTATGGCTGGACTAGGTATACATATATACACAGTCTTGTCATAAGTATTGTCACACAGTAAAAACTTTTCTTTTAGAATGCTGGCTACAAAAAAGTTTATTGGCTTAAAACGGACTAGAATCCAGAGCCGTAAAACATATTAATAAAAAGAAATTGAATTCGAATTTCGAATTGTTCATGAAAATAAAAATGTATAATTTTTAGAATTTTACTCATTTTTAAATATGGAGTGGACGCTTAAAGAAGACCGTGTTGCAGTTATTGCGTTGCATCGTTGCGGTTACGCGCCAATTCAATTTTTTGACATACTGAAAATTTTGAATATAACCAAAAGATTCGTTTAACGTACCATCAAACGATACAATGAAGACTGTAGTGTAGATGACAGGTCAAGAAGTGGTCGCCCTCGGTCTGTTAGGACTCCAGCAGTGATAAAAGCTGTGAAGGCGCGAGTTCAAAGAAATCCCAAACGTAAGCAGAAACTGTTGGCCCTTTCAGATGGGGTTAAGCAGAACCACGGTGAAAAGGGTGTTAAATGAAGACATAGAGCTTCGGGCATATCGAAGAAAAACAGGACATCGTTCGAATGCTCGTCTAATGGACCTGAGACTGAAGAGATGCCGCGTTTTCTTGAAGCAGTACGCGGGAAAAAAATATCGGGAAATTCTTTTTCGGATGAAAACATTATTACCGTAGAAGTGAGCTACAACAAACAAAATGATAAGGTGTACGCACACAGTAGTGAAGAAGCGAGCAACCGTATTCCGCGTGTCCAACGAGGTCATTTTCCATCCTCGCTCATGGTATGTTTGGGAGTTTCTTATTGGGGCTTAACAGAGGTACATTTTTGTGAGAAAGGTGTAAAAACGAATGCAGTTGTGTATCAAAATACAGTCCTGATCCTGACGAACCTTGTGAAACCTGTTTCTCATACCATGTTCAATAACAGGCACTGGGTATTCCAACAAGATTCGACGCCAGCTCATAGAGCGAAGAGCACACAAGACTGGCTTTCGGCGAGTGAAATCGACTTCATCCGGCACGAAGACTGGCCCTCCTTCAGTCCAGATTTGAGTCCGTTAGATTACAAGATATGGTAACACTTGGAGGAAAAGGCGTGCTCAAAGCCTCATCCCTATTTGAAATCACTCAAGGCATCCTTGATTAAGGCAGCCGCCGATAATGACATGGACCTCGTTCGTGCTGCTATAGACGATTGGCTGCGCAGATTGAAGGCCTGTATTCAAAATCACGGAGGTCATTTTGAATAAACTTTATTGTCATAAGAATCTATGTTTTGTTAAGTTCACTTTGGTCTGTAAATAAATGGTTACATAATGAATAAACTTGTTTCAATTATTTTATATTAAACATGTGACAGAATTTATGACCTGACTAGGTATATCCTTATATATTAAATTTAATAAATTGATTTGTTTATATAGAAGCAAATGATAGTATTCAATGATAAAAAATAGTATAGCATCCAAATAACGCTTTTATTTAGTGCTTGGTTCTGGAAGTTAGTAAGGTTTCCAGGGTTCTACGGGGAAAAGGATGGGGTCACAGTCGAAAAAACGCAAAGGCTTATAAAGTCAAGTATTTATAGCATTACAATATCTGAAGAAAGATCTTCCTTCACCCATCTGTTTATAAGAAAAGTATGTTTTATCAAGTATTGTTATATAAAAAACCTAATCGCCTAAGAAAGATGCGGCAGAGTGGGTTTTCCGCAACTCCCACCTGGGAAAGTAACCTCAACCTTACAGGAGACCACAGTAAAATTACAATACTTTTTAGTTGTGGTTGTTTTTCTGTCTGTGAGTGAGATTCTAGGGCTCCACGGGGTAAGGGATGGGGTCAGGGAAGGCAGCGGCGCAAATGTGATATTTTTGGTATCACAAACGTCTATTTGCTATGTTGGTCGCTTACTATCAGGCGGGACGTATGCTTATTTGCCACCCTTTTAACATACCTAATATAATAAATCACATTTAACTATGTTTTAAACAACTGGCCCTAACATAGATCTTACTAAAGTAAGCCAAAGCTGCACGAATGATCATAAAGGGCGAGGTTACATCCCAGGAAAATAAGATAGCTGGATCAAGACTGGTAGTGCAGACAGGATTTTCCGTTCGAATTGGTGCGCCTGTCAGGTAAAGAACATAAATGTACCTTACTAAAATTTCGGTAAAACAACACTACGTTTTGACCATGTTATATTTCAGTTGGTAATTAAAGTTCCAGGGATCCACGGGGCAGAGGATTGGATTAGGGAGGGCAAGGTGGAGAGCGCCGCATCAGCTATTCTCAAGATAGGAAATTTTCACTGAAAATCAAGTATAATGAAAGACGCGCATTGTGACTTGACAACCTCCGTGGTCGAGTGGTTTGTATGCCGGGTTTCATGGTGTCGCCGACTCGAGAAGTTCCGGGTTCGAATCCCGGTGGGGGCAGATGTTTGTATTTATTTATTGTATGAAAGGAATAGGTTTTGCCGTATCAGCTTTTTTTGCAACTCAACTCACTAAGCCAGGTAATGGTGATTAAGCTTTGCTAACAAGTAAGTATTTGAGAACAAATACATCAAATGCTATGTTCCGAAATGTATTTGAGAAAACGCAATTAAATTGCTAGACAAAGTAAAACATCTTAAAATATGTGACATTACTAATATACCTAATTATTGCGGATTCAATTCTTCTAACGTGTTATTTTGGAAATAATAAGTGACACCGTTGTAAATGTTACATTTTTCTAAATGATAGCTTTATTATTTATTAAAAATTAAAGAGCCGACGCATGGCGTGACCGCCACGCCCACATAACACAGATATAATAGAGACGTTTAAATTAAGGGTTCGGCACCTGGCCTAATGATACGACTTGCCGCCCCATCCACTTCGTAGTGAGGTGTAATGTCTTCATTATCGACTGCATTGTTGACATTATAGTGAAAAGTTTTGAGTTATGCAATATTTTTATTAATTTATTCTACCATATTTTATTGTAGGTAAATAGAAATAAAATTAAGTATCTTAAAATACAAAACTATACGATTATTATAACAGAAACTGTTTTTAAAATCAGCTTTTATTCAAATTTATTCACTGCTTGAACTGCTTGACGTAATTAATAAAAGTTATCCAGTATCAGAATGGAAATTTTGGATTTTATATTACAAAACCACATTATATTAGAGTAAGTAATTTTCAGACCGTAAATATTGTAGGTACTAGATTAAGTTTAAAATGAAAGAAATATGGAAGCATTTTAAAATTATTTACACTTCTTATTAGTTTTACAAAAATAGGGAAAGAATAGAATAAATAGATTTATGAACGGTGTTGAATAAACTTACCAAATAAATGACACAAAATTAATTGACGTCAGTTTTAGGTTTGTTTCAGAAATAAATGACTTCTCTGGAATAAATAAAAATCATAACTTAAGACAAGAATGAATTATCCTCGTGTTAAAAAGAAAAGTTGGTTAATAATAAAGAGCGACAAAAATGTTGTTAGTTTAAAAATGTATGAGAATATATCGCAGCTGTTAAAAAAACCACGCACCATTTAAGTATAAATACCAACTGAACTAAAAATTTTATAGGAAGGGTAGCACCCTGGCTATATAAACAACAGCCTACAGGCCAGCTACACGTATTTTACTATTAGAACTGCACACACGTCAGTCTGCTACAATGTTAAAAAGCTTTTTTAATAGTTTAGAAGATCCAGACAGACCATTGTTAGGTCCAAATTATTGGAGTCTAAAGAAAATGGGATTGCTTTTACACTACGGCAAATTGGGCAATATCTTTTCTATATTCATTCATAATTTGGGAATTTTATTCGTTTTCACTCAATATGTTGAATTATATCTAATACGCTCCGATTTGGACTTGATTTTAACAAATCTAAAAATTTCCATGTTAAGTGTCATGTGCGCTATAAAAGCCAATACATTTTTACTCTGGTGTGCTAAATGGAAGGAAGTCATAAATTATGTTACTGAGGCAGATAAATATGAAAGAAATACAGATGATCCTAATCATGTACAGATTGTGGAAAAATATACCAAATATAGTCGTCGTATTACTTACAGTTATTGGATTCTGGTAATCACCACCGGTTTCATTACTGTATTGACACCTATATCACAGTATGCGTTTTCATCCACGATCCGGGAAAGCGTGAGGAATGGAACTGAGGCATTCCCGCATATATTCAGCTCCTGGGTCCCGGTTAATAAAAATGTTTTTCCTTTTATATGGACGACAGTGGCTTGGCACACTCATTTTTGTATTTATGGAGTAACGCTGATGATGGCATTTGACACAAACGTTATGGTGACACTGGTTTTTATTGGAGGAAAGTTGGATTTGCTGCGAGAACGATGCAAGCTGATGGTTGGAGTTGATGGAGTCACAATGAGCGATGTTGATTTAACAGAAAAGCTGCGTGAACTCCACAAAACGCACGTTCTCATACTGAGGTAATATTTTGCTTCCTTTTTATAGATACTCTAAAGTATTAAATGAATTTCATCGTCAGTACTGCCGTGTTTTAGGAGAGTTCCTTTTTTGTTGGGCTTTAGTTGTTTGTTTAGTTCCATAATTGAAATCCAACAACTAAAAGAACATAAAACGTTCATAAGTAACTCTAAGACTCAAAATAATCATCAGATTAATACAATCCCAATTAATTACTTTAAGTTTAACTTTTTGTACTAAAGTTTACTTACTAACTTGTGAGTTTAGGTCACATCAATCCTAAATTACTTAAATATTTGTGTGTAATAAGTTAAAACCACTATATCAATAATAAATTTGGAATCGGTGAAACTGAATAAGCAGTACCATGAGCAGTATGAAGAATAGTATATTTCCTACGTATAGAAAACGGATCCTAACTTACTACATAGGCCAAGTGCATTCATATTAGTGTTAGCTAACCCTTACAGATATTGTCGAGACCAATGTTTAAAGTGATAAACATATGTTTTATTTAACTTTCGTAAACGGATAACAAAACTCCTGATGAAAATGATCATAAACTAGAAATCGTTTCTGTTCTTGAGCTGTGCTAATAGTCGCGAAATGAGAATATAAAAAAGACCAATTAGAAATTTTGAAAAACCAATAAGTTTTACAATATATTGATTCCAAGCACCAAGCACATTCGGAGTTGGGTGAACCAATTCTCGATCAATATTTAAAAATGTATCTTGCAGGAGTTCATAAAAATCTGACGACATCAGCAAGCTTTCTTCGTTCTTTGTCTTCTTGAAATTTTGAATTACTATTTCGCTCTGTGAGTGAGATTTATCTTGGTGAAAAAGAATGCCGAACATTGCAATCCTAGGGCGCTAGCTATTTAACTCTTTGAAATCCTGAGGTAGGCAAACCTGGATACACCATTCACTAATAACTGACCTTAGATCTTCTTGCGGCGTTACTGTTAGATCGAAATAATGCTACTTTTTATAACCAAAAGTTCGCCTGCGTTTAATTTAAGTGACAACCCCTGCTCTTCAAATACCCTTTATTTCGAAAGCGGTTTGGTGAGAAAATCGTAGACGTAGATCCAAGATTCATCAGTTTTACGTAAGTAGGATACGTTTTGCGAATTTCTGCCAATCCGCCCAATTGTGGAACAATATACAGAACGTCATTTTGCTCTTCTGTGTGAAAATATCGTAATCATTTATTGAGAATCAGGGTACCTATAAATCTTCTTAACTTTATCCAAACTGATCCAAACTTCTGGTTCAACCGGAATCTCCCGATAGATGAGGTGTTTATTTTCTCACAATAACAATACACTTATAAAGTTTCTCATGAGTTATTGCAGTGTGTGATCGACGATGACATCCATAAAGTTCTGTTACACGTCTACGTTGACGAAACTACTAAGTTACTATTGATAACATAGAAATAGATTTACCTTAACAAAAAGCAGTTTGTAAATTCTCTTAAGATTTCCTAAATAGGTAGGTAACTCTCTTTTACATAAAATACTAGTGGGTACCCGCGTCTTCGTCTGCGTGGAGAATTTTGTCACTCATACAAACTTTAACCCCCATATAGGATGATTTCTGGGATAAAAAACTATCCCATTTTTTCCCTGCGACTCTAACTATGTTCAACTCAAGTTTCATTTAAACCAGTTAAGTAGTTAAAGGCTTTAACTGATAGACAGACAAATTTATTGTAGTTGTTTATTTATAATATTAGAAGAGAAGTATAGACAACAAACTACACATATATGCCACTGATTTTTAACAGAGATGTCAAAAGAAATCGTCAATTCAAATTACGAGTAGGTATTTACCTGTCCAAAATGATAAATTTACTCTGCACCTAGTAGTTTTCAGGGCAATAATATTTTTTCTTTCAGAAACTACATACCTAGATGATGTAGGTATCCTACTAATATTATAAATAATCAATAATCAAAATCATTTATTCAGTTTAGGCTGTTACAAGCACATATGAATGTCTAGAAGCTACGCCATCGGTTCGTAAATCTACGGCGGGAGACCTTGTACTGAGAAGAACCGGCAAGAAACTCAGCAATTGCTGTTTTTTTTCTCCCTGTTTTATTATTTAAAGTGTCGTCAAGTTGAAAAATGACTTCAGAGATGATGATGATGGTGAAATGTGAAAGTTTGTATGTTTGTGACTCAATCACGCAAGAACTAAGTACTGAACAAATTTTCGGAGTTTATGGCCGGATTAAGACATAGGATACTTCCACTTCCACACTCCCAAATAAAATAAGTTTGGGAGTTCAAGAAAAATAAGTTCCTGTGGGAGTTTCAAAAAACCATAAACATTATACTTAAAATCCATCATGTGCTAATAATACATGACGTCCTCAATCTACGTAATTTGTTAACCCCTTTTTTAAATTGTAATAGGTATGTTAATCTTATTTACAATATACCTTCATATTAGTAATTCAGTAAGGGGCTTATAGATTATTAATTATGTTATGGTTTTTCTTTTTTGATTATTTATTCATATGAAAAACTTTTTTAACAAATATATAAATTGACCTCATAAATGTTAATATCAAGGTTATAGAAATCAGAAATCAATATATCTTTATTCAAATTGGATGTATAGTACAACACTTTTGAATCGTCCAAACATTCTTTCCCTACCACAACATTAAAAGCATAGTGTAACAATATTTACAAATCATTATGTTGTTACAACGTCAATACAATCATGATTTATTTAATATAGAAAACCTGTTGGAATGATTGGAACAGTTCAAACCCACGCAATTTTGTCTGTAATATAATCAGACACTTTGTAATAAGCTTTTTAATAAGTGCTTTTTTATACTATCTTTGAATTTATTTATGGTTAACTTTTGGATATTGCTTGGGACTTTATTGTATAAGCGAACACAAAGACCTTTAATTTACTATATATATACTATAAAGAAGTAAAGAAAATGTATTATTTCTTAACTTTTAGTGAGTTTTGTGTTTATGAATGCGGTTTTTATTTTTGTCAAAAAAGGTTTTTTATTTTTCACCTTCTATAAGCCAAAACAATATGGGGACGTCCGGCCTGCAATTTCTCTTTCATATTTTGTAAAATAATCAAACACGATGTGTGTAGTGTACTATTCATATTTGAGGATTTCCGTTGTTTATCTCCGAAACTATAACATTAACACTTAAAACATTTTATAACAAATCTTTATATATACAATTCTTCTGTGAGTGTGTATGTCACTGAACTTCTCTTAAACGACTGGACCGATTATGATGAAATTTTTTGTGTGTGTTCAAGGGGATCTGAGAATGGTTTAGATTCACAATTTTGTCCGCTTGACAACCCCTATTTTTTTAGGGCGGTACGAAGTTCGCTGGGTCAGCTAGTTAATGTATATAATGTTAAGCTTAAGTTTATTGCAACACCCCAACGAGGGCATGTACCACTCACTATTAGCTATTTAAGACCTTATAATGTACATGTGCAATGTGAAACAAATAAAACTATTTATCAGATCTTTAACAAGTTAATATGGGACCATCTCGTCAAAAAAATCGTCAATGTCAGTTCAGAAACAAAAAAGAATTCGCAGATATGCGTGAACAATAATAAAAATAAATCTGTAAACGAATTGATAATCTCCTCCTTTTTTACTTCAGTTAAAAGTACTTCACAGGACAAATATTTTTATAAACTTTATAGATAAATTTAAAATAACATAAGCTGCTGATACATTCACCCTTTTTGCATTATTTCAATTTTCGTTTATTTTACAAATAAATCTGGATATTAAAATATAATTCATTATTTCGTAAATTAAGTTTAAAGTAATATTTTACAACAAAAAAATCATTTTCTTTGATGTATTTATTACTTTCAATTCTATTTTTGCAATGTCAAATATCGGTTACATATTGTTTTCATATAGTTCTATACATGTGAAAATAGAAAATGAATATGCCCATTTATATCAGTGTTCACAAAATCATTGTCGAAAAATCGTATTTTAAATAAATTTTATTGTATTTACAGTAGATGAAATGCTATCGATATATTCCCGTCCTACGCTAGGCGACGCGATGTTTCACACAACGCAATGTTGCCTTCAAATTATACCCATTACCACAAAATAGCAATTTAACTTATTTTGTTATTTTCTTGTTTGTGAACAGTTTTTTTTTATTTTTAGATATTCAAGATTATTTAACTCATTGCTGTCACCGGTGATGTTCTTTTATATGGTTATGTGCACATTGATGCTTTGTGCGAGTGCCTATCAACTGACGGTAAGTATCTCTTATCTATTAGACAAGTCCGTCCGTCCGTCTGTCTGTGGTGCTGTTTCAGCGGTCAAACCGTAAGAGATAGATAAAGAGAATATTTAAGTTATAAGTTAAGAATAGTCTGATAAGACTACAAACCGGATTTGAGTAACGTAGCACTTCCGGTTTTCGAGTAATCACGAATTTCAAACGAAACCACACAAAATCTCCGAAGTTCTCAATTAATTAAATACATTTTTTTTAATCAGGTTTTGGTGAACATTTGGTTCACTGGTTTGCTAGTTTTTTTTAATAATCAAGGATATAAGTAGTTCCGATTAAATTTAAAAATAACTGGGGTCCGCGATTATAAGAATACAATTTTTTATACTTTCATTTTATTCCTTTTCAACTTTTATTTTCACATAAAAAATAAGTAGTATATACACCGTGTTCCTGAGGTTATACACTAACTTTGGCATGTTATTCAGACTATTAAATCGATATTTTTTTACAATGGACACTTTTATGAATTCCAATTTCTTTAACATTTTTTATTTTCATACAAAGTAAATGCTTAGATGTAATTTATTTTATATGAATTACTCTTTACCTGAGCTGGCAACGTCGCATTTGAAACTTTGGTTTACATGTCCACATAAACTTTTTAAAAGTTTTCTTGACGTCAACAATGTTTTTTTTAATTTTGACTTTTGAAACTATGACTTAATGACCAATTGACAAAGAGTTGATAGTTTTGGTTGTACAAAGTGTCAACATCTCACAGATACAGACTCTTTCTCACTGCACAATACAATGAAGTTGGTTAAACTTAAATTCCCAATAACTTAAAAACTATTTGTTTCTTAAAAACTATGCTATTTCAATTACTACTTTCTTTGTACGGAATGTTTAGCAATAGCTATATTTTTTCGACATTCACAAGTGCTTGTAACAGCCTAGACTGAATAAACGATATTGAATTTTTTTTTTTTATAGAAGTATTATTCAAAGTGAATGTATATCCTCAGGAACACGGTGTATAATTACCTTCCTTAACTTTCATTAAAGTGTGAGTGAATACAGTTGCGAAGATCGCTGTTCGCAAACTCACGTTTCCAGGCTGATCCAACGGCTTATCCGTTGGATCGGAACGGAAATTGTAAATTCATCAACAAAATAAAAAAAATTGGCGTTTGCCGATGGTGTTTCTTAGGGTGGATTGAGCCCCAAATCGAAAAAAAAATTCGCTAAGTAGAAATTGATTTAGCCGTTCTTGTTATGGGTGGATTAAAGTCACGTACTTGTTTCAGTCCGCGACAGATACAACTCAGAAACTGGTAATGGCAGAATACTTAACCTTCGGTATTGCGCAACTTTTCATATTTTGTTGGCTCAGTGATGATGTACTAACAAAGGTAAGTTGTTCTTAAGCTCCGTTGTGATTTTATTTATGTTGAAAAGGTGGCAAATGTGCAGTGGCGGCGCTAGACCACATGTGGACGTCGGCGACATCAAGTTCGCGAGGCCTATTTTAATTCGCAGTAAAAAACCGTTAAATTAAGTGAGCCAAATTATAAAATAACGTATGAGTAAACGAATTTTATTGTTGATAATCAAATGATGACAAAAAATAATTACAAACATAGAAATTTAATTACAAAAATAGTGTTGCCAGACAGACGATTCTGAATACCAGTAAAGTACCTACTACTCGCTTCCATCACGCACGTGTTCGAAAATAATAAAAGTCATTATCATCTGCTTAGCTTTTTCTCCGAATTGTTCGGGGTCGGCTACCTAAGCCAGGCCAGGAGAAACGAAAATAAATAGGTAACTTGTAAAATTTTTTTGCGAGGCCCCTTCAGGCGCGAGGCCGTCGGCGGTGGCCGACGTAGCCGACGCCTAGCGCCGCCACTGCAAATGAGAATGGTCCTCCTGATAATAAGTAGCCACAATAGCCTATAGACGCTTGCGATACAAAAAATATCAATCGCGCCGTTGCCTTACTTGACCCAAGCCCCTACCCCGTGGAGCCCTGGAACCTTAGGGTACGGCCAGAGTGCACTCAGATTCAGATTCAGATTCAGACTCAGAAAACAAGCGCGAGAAATAAACAGTGAAGGTAAAGCAGGGTGGCCATAGTGGCAGCAGGCAACCTGCTTAAACTACACTGTATATCGCGCTTGTTTTCTGAGTCTGAATCTGAATCTGAATCTGAGTGCACTTTGGCCGTACCCTTACTCACCGACAGAAATACAACACCACCAAAACATAGTGTTATTTTAATGTGGTCACGTAAATATAACATTACAAAAAAGTAACATAAAATAAGTTGTGCTCGCGCTTGTTTTCTGAGTCTGAATCTGAATCTGAATCTGAGTGCACTTTGGCCGTACCCTTACTCACCGACAGAAATACAACACCACCAAAACATAGTGTTATTTTAATGTGGTCACGTAAATATAACATTACAAAAAAGTAACATAAAATAAGTTGTGTTTTTTTTTAATTCTTTTTTAAACAGTCAACTGCTAGATGTTTAAACCTAAAAAAAAGTTTTACTTGAAAAAAATCCACGCAGACCAGGCACTTTTCTAGTAAAACTTTTCTTTAGATTTAAACATTTAGCAGTTAAATGCTTAAAAAAACAACATAACTATAATTGCTATTTCTTCTTTCAAATGTTTAATACTTGAAAAAGTATTAATTTGACATTGCGGGTTACCTACAATGCGAAGAGATGGCGCTGCCTTGCAGCTTAAAGCTGGGAAAATTTCGACGCGGCCATCAGGGCCGTGGTAGCATAATTGGTCAGTGCAATCGCCCGGATTGCGAAGGGTGCGGGTTCTAGTCCCGTCCGGTGCCTGGTCTGCGTGGTATTTTTTCTAGTAAAACTTTTCTTTAGATTAAATAAGTTGCCAGGAATTGCGGACATAATTTCACACTAAAATTGTATTTACGCTATTACTGATAAAAACAAATAAAATAGGTACGCAATTCTGAATAGCAGTTGTGAGCTTTTGGATATATTTACAGAGTGAAAAGGTGATGCTTGGCCCTTATGAAAGCCAGTGGTGGTTAGCAAATGTGAAACAAAGGAAAATCATTCTGTTGATGGCCGGTCAACTACGCATCGTCCCAGTGTTTACTGCGGGACCATTCACCAAACTCACACTTTCCACATTTTTAAACGTATGTTGAGTTGAGTTTATTAACTTTGATTTTTTATTTTACTTAATACTTTTGTAACGCTGTAATAATATTGGCATTGATTTAACCTAAGATGATAAACATATCTTGTTTATCATCTTAGGTTAAAACAATTTATCATTAGGTATGGTTCTACTGTGTTGATTTATTAAACTGCTACCCTAATAAAAATATTTAATGTATGACTTCTGCACGTCTATTCTGTTACAAGCAATCCATGATGCAATCTCACTTTCGAATTTCAAATTTTTATTAATTGTCGTACCTATTATATCCGTCAGCGTGTATTAATAATTGCTTCTACAGTCTTACTTAATGCATATTTAACTTAAATCTGTCTGTTAATAGAATTATCAAACTCGACAATGAGATTTTATTTTTCAGAAACATGAGATCTACTGTCATGTAAAAATAAGTACGTAGTCTAATGATGCTTTTTAATTTCAGATTTTGAAGGGGTCCTACAGCTACTACACTTTACTAAGAAAGTAGAAGTATATCGAAACATAGTTTTAATTAATGCACTTTTGTGAATGAAACTTTGTATTTTTTTTAATAATATAGTGGAAATAATTTGAATACTTTGAAAATAAAACCACATTACGTCCGAATACGCGTAATAAATATAAATATGATATAAGCATACCTAGGATAAATAATCACTTGTATTATAATAGTGCGTTCAGTACTAGCATAAAGATCTTCAATCATTTGCCTGCAGAAATTAAAGTACACAATTTGCCACTGTTTAAATTTAAGTTAAAAAGCTGGTTATTAAATAATGTTTTCTATAATCTTGATGAATATTATTCTTGTAAAACTTAATATAATTTAGGCTCTAAAATGTACTTTTTAAATTAAGATAGTTTTAAGTTATAAATTTTATCATTGCATGCCCGTTGTGGGCATACTGTTGTGACTTTGTTATTATTGCAATTCCAACTGCAAAATTGTACACAGTTTTTTCAAACAATAAAACTTTATAAAAAAAAATATTATTAAAAAATATGTAATGATATTTTATTCGATAAAATTATTTGAGGGTACCAGGCTGGGGCCGAATGGAATATTTTATATTACTAATTTTTAGGGTCTCATCCCCAAAGGATAAAAACGGAGTCCTATTGCTGTCACTCTGTCTTCTGTATGTCTGTCTGTCCGTGTGTCACGGTTCCCTAGATCGTAAATGAAATGAGTTACAGGACTGAAATTGCAGTATTTTATGCAGGATGCTTGCTTAAAACTGCTTAGCTAAAAATTCAATTAAATTATTTTTCATAGGGGGTCCCATACATGAAGAGCAGACGATTTTTTTTCTTTTACTCCAGCATGTGATATATCATTATGTAGAGCTCGTTAAGTAGAATGTATATATTTTTTTTGTTTTAATACGAAACATAATCATCTTGTATGGTTTACTCAAAAAATGTTTCAATCTCTGAATATCCTTAGCTTTATTAGGATTCAATGGAATTTGAGCCTTGTACAATGGACTAAAATTCAGTTCCAAAGGCAGTGGACGCTTTGTCCGTACATGGATTCTTGTCCATTCTCCAGTAAAGTTTTACTTAACCAAGACAAATGGTGGTTTTATTTTTTCACAAAAACTACTTATCTACGTTCAGATACGTAATTTTTGTAAAAATTGCACGCAGTTGTGTAGTTTTTGTAAAATATGTGTTTTTTTACTGTGCGATTCTGTGCTAATTATACTGTTTTTGTAAAATCGAATTAAACTGCCTGGTGTAACTTCTTTCATAGATCATATTGCCATCATTAAAAAAAATACCTTAAAATTGTTAGTTATGTAGTTTTTGTAAAAAACCCTTCATATGAAAATGTTACCAAATTGCTTTTATTGTACCTTTAGGCGAAACGGACGCATATGTTTTACTGGTAAAAACATTTATTCTAATACTTATATAACTTTGAAGTTAGCAATTGAATAAAGGTACATGTGATTTTTGTTTCTGAAGTATATAGAGCCAAGAGCACAAGAACCTTTTGGATAAGCAAGAACGCAGCCTGCACGGCTTCAATTTTGTTATAAACTGAGAATTTTTACTAAATGTTTGATTCTATTTTTCTTGTTTGATCGATTTTGCCCAATCTTTGCCATATTATCATAATGTGACGCGACAGAAAATATAAATTACGTAAAACAACGTTATATCTACACATAATTTGACACGTTTCCCAGGCATAAGGTCTGATATGCATATGTAACATAAAGATGTCCGTAGTAAATAGGCTAGTTGACCCTTTTTGGAAAAAGGTTTTAAATGGTTAATAAATGTTCTATTAGACCGAAAAAAAATGTGTTGTATTTTTTTGAAACCTAGAAAGCTACAAATCTTTAATTTTAAAATAGACTTTTCATGGACACACAAAAACGCTGTCGGCCATTTTAGTCTATAGATTATCTATGCTATGACGTGAACTGTGGTAAACAAAAACTCGTAAACACGTAGAAAATTACTTTTAACTGAGTTTATAATAAAAAAACATGATTTCTAATAAATACCACGAATAATAAAGTAATTATCATTACTGTATTGTACGAGAATATAAAAACACATCCTTGAAGACTCCAGGAAAGTTGTGGATTAAAGTGCCGAAAGAAATTAACCTAAGCAACTTTATTACACTTATTCATATGTTGTATCAGTTTTATGTTTATTACTACATTGTAATACTAAATGCACTGTAATTACATAGATGCCTTGTCGTTTCTCTGCTCCGCAGAGCAAAATCGGGGTTTAGTGCAACAAATTCACCAACCATCAATGCGTCAATTCTTGGCAGATTTGTGCTTTCTGCTTTCACAAAGCCGGCATCCATAATTAGTTTAGTCAAAAAAAACTAAGTTAACTGTTTTTTTCTTTCCTAAAGTTAAGTGTTTTAAGATAACTTTAGTCAGACGAAAGAATCCACCTACAGTAACACACGGATGACATTTAGTTGTTTACCACAAGAGACGTCAAAATCATGGCGGATGTGGCGAACAGCGTTTTTAGTGTTTAAAAAATATAGACTAAAAAATATTTTTTAAAATTAAATTTCTACAGCAATCTTCTGCTTTTATGAAGTGAAATCGATATATTAAGGTTCCTTAGACTAAACACTTTAAGAAATAAACATTTATTTAATACAATTCGACATGAGTAAACTAGCCTATTGTCACATAATCACTTAAGAAACTCTTAAATAACGGAATATAAGCCGTAAATGTAGTTTTTTTTATAAACAATAAATGAGTCGTAATTTGCTTCTTAATGCTTTATATGATTAGTAAAAAAATTCAAATGATAGAAAAATACCAATACAAGTTACAGCATATTTTACATTTTACAAACTTAAAATCGCTCTACTGTAAAGTTGTGATTATGTAGAAGTAGCTTTATTCTCTGGATAGGTCAAAATATTTAAAATTAGATATTTTTTATTTATGCTCACAACTATTTAGAATATTAGTTATTTTTAAGATGTTTTTTCATATCTCATTCAAATTTACATTTAATCATAATATAAGATAATATAAGAAACGCGTCTATCGTGATACTTCACTATGTCCTATGTATGGAACATAACACTCCTTCTGGCGCAGTCGAGAAAAAACAAGTCATCATCTTCTATAATGCTTCAAAGCTGAGACAGACACCTAAATACTTTTTCTAATCATTAGGGTTCCGTAGCCCTGACAAGGAACCCTTATAGTTTCGTCAAGTCCGTCTGTCTGACCGTCCCCGGTTTTGCTAAGAGAATGTTAGCACTAGAGAGCTGTAATTTTGTGGAGATATGTATATCAATCACGCCAACAAAATGGTAGAATAAAAGTTAGGGTAGCTCTCCTACATGTTACCTGGGGACATGGGGACTGGGCATAGATCCCTTAAAATTATTTAGGGGTTTTAGGTTCCAGCCATCCATCCCTAAGACTATTTTTCGATTTAGGTATCTGTTTGCGAAATATTGAACTTTAATATGCTATTTTTTTCTTCGACTAACCTTCCCTTCCCCCCACTCTAAAAGCAAAACAATTGGCAAGAAAAACCTAAAAAAATGATAAAGTGCTTTTCATAAACTTTGAGGAAAATTATAACGGTTAAAATAGATTGTTAGTTTAAGAGTACCTACCTAATAGTTGTATAATTTATGTATCAGAACTGATATAATAAAAATTCCTTAGAGAACTTAATAGTAACATTGATGAAGTTATTGTTGCGCATAACCTTATGGCCATAGGCATTGATATGTGTCATCATTATCACCAGCTTATTAATAACCTCGTATGGATCGAAAACAATGGAATAGGGACATTGGACCGTGCCTCACTACGTGGGCCCAGTGTGGATTGGTGGGTGCTAACGACTGCAGGAGCACGGAGGAACTCGAGATAGTAAGATTTTGGTCCCCCATTCAATGACAGACCATTGCGAAAGTTTCGTAACTTCGACGATCGCAGGCCAAACGCGCCATCGAACGCAGCTGATATATGAGCAATGATAATAATACGGATAAAATATGTGATTTATAATAACCTTAGCTGAATTTTAGGTAAATAAATTAAACATTTAGGTAGAAAATTATATGTTTATAAACACATATCTCTTATTGACTTCAATAAAGTGGCTGCCTTTTTGCAGTATATGTATGCGAGACGGAAACAATGAAACGTTGTTATTTACAAAAAAAAAAAGGAATTTTTAGAGGTCAATTAACTGCTGAAGATTGAAGAATCGCCATCAAAGAATAATCCAAAAATATTGTGTTCAGTGTTTTCTATATACATTTATTTACATTTTAGTATAATGCAAGAGGGCCAACATCAGTATAGGTTCCCCTAATAGAAGTTTCTATCGTTCTGACAATTGGTGTCAATTCTGACACGATTCTCTAAACCTAAACTTAAATTTGACAACAGTGTAACCTTGTCATTCTCTATACAATGAAAAGGAGAGATTGATGTTAAATTTAGTTTTAAGTTTAGAGAATCACGCCAGAATCGACACCAATGTAATAAACGGTTATCATCGTAAATTAAGAACACCACTATGTTTGAACATTCATTGCCATATCAGAATATTCGTGATGCTCATAGATATAATAGTTTGTGTTCGTATATTTACTAATGATTATGAACTTTATCCAAAAACTTAGAAAAAAATACATATTTTACCTATGAGCAGGTGACTTCGAGCATGGTGTCTGCACTAGATCATAGAATCAATTCCGTTCACTAGGATATTTTTTTAACAAATATTTTTTTACCTGGCAGCACACCTACCTACAGCAAGTACATCATCTATCTTTGAGGGAATAAAAATAGCTGTTTTTATTTATTTCTTCTAGTCGTAAAGTTTCTGTTACAAGTATTTAGTTAGTGAATCTAAACATATGTATATAAATATAGCCCGCACTGAGTGATAACTTAAATAAAACTAAGCACCGAAGGAGCCGGAGAGAGTTCAATAAACTTTTACGTCAAGCCTTGTTGAATACAAATGTCATTATTTGGCTATTGGTGTTTTTTAGTCTAATGTTGTGTGTGATAACTGTAAAACAAAACTTGAATAATATAGCTGAGACATTTTTATTGCTATGGAAAGTCAAAATCCTCAAGAGAGGAGTGTTCCAATACAACATGGTCGAGGATCGCGAGCATTTCGGCAGTTCAAGAATCCACCACAACCCCACATGTGTATTCAAGATACAATCAAAGACACATCAGAGAAATTATTTATAAACGTTTTAGGTTGGCAAAAAATAGCGAATCCTAAACAGTTTAACGATCCTATTCCTCTGTATGGGGGAATGCAGGTAAGTCATTAAAGTTACATTTTTGTAATAAAAATTTGTTTATTCCCTTCCTTAATATTTTTATGCTGTAACATTTTTAACAGACTTTATTATGTGTTTAGAATTTTTCATCGAGAATTACTATGCCCAAAAATTTTATGGTTTATTGAGTAGTGCAATAGTGTCATCCCCCAGGCCCACCCTACTTGTGTTTAAAATCGCAAATTTCATTTAGGTACCCCAAGGCTGTGGACCAAATAGCAACAGACCACCACTACTTGTTTTTGCCGTAATGGTTAACCCAGATATTTTGAAAGCTAATGGAAAAAACGCTGCCAACCCAACGGTAAGTTAAATATCTTGTATTTGAGAGAATATTTTAGTTAAGTATTCAATTTTCGTAGTAAATTGTCAGAATAATTGATGTCTGTGATACAGAAAATGACTTTCTTCTAAATATTGTAATGAAGTATTGATATTACCTAACTGTCATTTACAGACACTATTAATATTATTGGATATAACCTTCTCAATGTCATTTACTTTTTATACATAGTTTATGCTATTGCTTGGCAAAACATCAAAAGGCAGATAAAGTATACATATTTCTTCTATAGCAGCACCATAAGATCTTAATGAATCCCGCACTGGACCGAGAATGAAAGATAAACTGAGAGTGTAAATAAACAGAATTGTTTAGAATTATTATGGAATGGGTCTACATCTTCTTTGTATAATATTAGAGATACCAATTGAGAACCCACCAATGGCTAATTTGATATCATTATTTTTATTATTTATATAGTATTTTCTAAAGCATGGAATATAATTGGATTTTGGGGCCAATCACTTCATAATATTGCAATAAGTTTTCAGCGGTCCAATCAAAAATTGTTAAGACTTTAGTGACTTAATTGTAATCATCAAAAATATATTGCATTCCTTTTAAATAACATTTTCTTATTAATGGTTTCAGGATAGAGAAGCTTTAGTGAGTCTGCTATGTGACTTTGTAGAAGCTATGAATCCAGGACTACTACTCACAAGGAGTCCTGTTATCCTAAAGGATAGAGATCTTGCTGGAGAGCTTAAAGATGTTTGGCTCGCTGTACAAAACAAACGGGAAAGAGAGAAAGGCATGAATCAAGATGTTATGTATAAGGTATATGTCGTTTTTTATTACAAATAAGATGAATGATTCAATTTATTTTTATCTGGTTTTGTATATTAATTCAAATTGTTTAATTAGGTCTATGATATTGATGGGATTGGAGAGGACATGAATGAAGAAGAAAAAATGAATTCACGGAATTGCAAACAAAATGACAAAAATTCACCTACCAGATCACAGAGCGTTGATAAGAAGAACATTGTGAAATCTTCCAAGCAAATACTTATGAACGCAGGACAAAAGTCTGAGTTTGATTCTGGCATGAACAACACTCAGATCACTCAAAGCCACTCAAATAGAGACAATAAGTGTATCAATAGTAATGCAGATACAACATATTGCACTCCAGTGTATGGCCAAATAGTATCTAGTCGAGAAAATCACAATCAAATCAATGATATACAACAAAAATTTTCTATGAGCGAAAACACAAAACCATCAAGTTCATTCAGAAAAGACTGGAACCCTGTACATGGAAAAACTACAGAGGGTTGGGATGAGTTCTCTAAACGGAATATTTCTTCTATTAGTAATGAAAAGGATAGTAACATAAAGAAACAGAGATATATTAAAAATGAAAAATCAAACAAGCAAGTTAGCAATGGCAAAGCCCAATATGACTTTTTCCCGGTATTTGACAATAAAGCAGTTGAAGAAGACTCTAACTCGAGTAACGATAGTGATACTTCAGATAAAGGGAAAGACCAAGAACTAAGGAACGATGACAATTCTAAAATAATACTAGATGCAGTGCAGAAACTAGTTCTGCATACGACTGATAATACATTATGTGATAATAAGACAAGTGCTCTCAGCTCAATAAGCTCATAATTTTAAAGCTTTTATAAACAATTTTGTATGGGAGTTAAAGTTGAAATATGTATTTGCTTATTGCTGTTTAAGGGATGTGTATATTGGGATACGACCTAGCAATTTGGCATTAGCGGCATACTAGTCAAATTTATTTTATAATGATTTTAATATGAAATTGAGCAGTTATGAATTGCTTAATATTAAATTTGCATTCATAAGTATTATATAATATGGGTTGTTTAATACCAAACACCTCTCGGTGAAATGAAAATATTGCTAGTTTTGTCCTTAAACTTTGAATGTGTTCTATGACTAAATCCAGATATTTTTTGAGGATCATGTGCATTGAATGAATGAAGAACTTGTTAAACAATGTAAATAAAATGATTTTACAAGGAATATAGTGATCTGGATTTTGGTTTATATTAGACTTGCAACGAATATTCGGTTACTATTCGGTATTCGGCCTATTCGGCTGCTTTTATTATATTCGGCCGAATACTTAAATAATATATTTTGTCATAAATAAATAATTGGTAAAATGAAAAATTAAAATCGATTGATTACGTGTATATTCATATTTTCATTTCTGTTATATAATCATTTAAGTAGTCATTGGTACATAACACATGTACGTAATCATCTTCTGAATTGGAAAAATGGAGGATTCTATGTATTTTAATTATTGTGGTAATCAAAATTTAGCAGGGTAAGATTATCATTTCTTTTATAATCATTTATTAAGTAGTCATTGGTACATAAAACAGGTATATAATTTAATCATTTTCTGTATTAACCGCATTTTAGCTTGAGGACGGCAGATTAGTACAAAACAAAGGAGAGCGAAACAATCACGTCTGTACAAGTTTTTGGCGCTTAAATCCAGCCGAATACTTTTGCCTAATATTCAGCTATTCGGTCAGGGGCCTCGCCGAATATTCGGCTATTCGGTCAGGGGCCTCGCCGAATATTCGGCTATTCGGTCAGGGGCCTCGCCGAATATTCGGTATACTGCCGAATATACTATTCGTTGCAAGTCTAGTTTATATGCATGCAGTGTGAGAATTGTCATTTGTTGGTTGTGTAATTGCTAAAGTGACTGTGGTTGAACTTGAACAATTTCTTGGGGTTGCCACTTGATGCCTGGCATAGTAATATAAATGAAGCCAAGTTATACTTATATTGCTATGTTATAAGGTTGCCAATATATTTAAAATATTAATATTTTCAAGTTGAAATTGGTATAATTCGTATTGAAATTAAAAATTAAAAATATATTGCTCATTACAATTATATTATCTTCAATGTTTTTTCTTAATACATGCCACATTGATATGTGACTAGGTGATCTTGCATGATATTGTGTAAATTCCAGTTTGATGTTTTTTAGATGTATGTCAAACACTGCCAAAACGTAAGTTTCACCCCCGTACTCGCAAATAGATTTAACCAACCCATCACTCTGTGAATATTCTCTACAAATCTTATTGTTAGCAGTAGGACCCAAATATTGATAGGATATTTTTTAAATGGTTTTTTTTACTTCTTATTTTGATCCTGGCTTGATATATGAATGTAAGTTAATAATCTCATGTGCAATTTCTTGGTTCTCATATTTTTTTAGCTAGATTCATTTATATTATATTAAATTAATCATTGTTATGTTAATTACAAGAGCAGAAATTCGAATTGACAAAATACTTTTTAATGGCCTATAAAGTGTCTTAAGTTTTCTTTGTGATAGAAATAGAATAAACATTAAATTTAATTGATGTCTCTGAGTGCTTCTGCAGGTTTCCTCTTTTTAATTGACGTTTCAGACCTTATCATTAAGACGCATGTGAGTTTATATTATTTTATTTTAAATGCGTTGTATATGCCATCAAAAAGTATTTAGATAAAATTAATAATATGCACGAAGCATATACCACTTATTTCAAGTTCAAAAATAGTATTTTATTATATTATTTTCGAATTATACATAATGTTTAAGGTAATGTTATACAATTTGTTTTAGAATGTTATGATTTGTAATACAATTGAATGCCTTAACAAATTTTGTGATGATAAAATACATGTCTTTACTTTTCTGTCTCACATTTTTACAATTTGAGTGTAGTATGATCATTGCATTTATTTTGTGGAAATATGTACAGTATTTTTATGTGCTACTTTTATTATTATTATTATTACTGGCATATTTTAACTAAAGTATTGCTGTTTTTCTATATAATGTAGTTTTAGATACAAACATTTATTATAATTTTAGCATTTTTAATGACGACTATGGGTAACGTATTAGAGTATTTAAATTGTTCCTTTGCTACAGTAATTATTATTTTTATAGATCCTTATGAACAAATTTGAGAATATGTCATAATATGAACAAATTCCTTTTATTATTTAGAATCTCGCAATATTGTAATAATATTATTTTTAATTTGAATTGAAAAACATGTGTGCACGGACCGGACTACACATTTGAAGTGAAACTTGTTTTCTTAAATAACCTAGCATTAGGCGGTGTATAAGGCAAAGGGGAATGGAGCAGCGCACGCATCACTCATATATGTATATATATATATATATATTATCACGTGTGACGCTCGTAGCGTTTTAGCCGTCGCCGAGTTGCCCTCCAACTTTCATGCTCGTTGGGAAGAACTGCGCACGCATCCCACACACGTACACATATATATATATATATATATCTAGTCGTGTGACGCTCGTGACGCATTTCCGTTTCATCTATTCCATAGGATTTTTCCTTTTCACACCGTACGAAAAGAAGTTTCACTTTAAAAAAAATGGAATTTCATATTCATTGAATAATTGGATATTCATTCTAATACACACTGGACCTGATTTTGGCGAAAAATTGTATTTAATAATAACAAAAACTAGCACCTATGAACTTTCATACAGCTTACTTAGACACTGGTGTCGATTCTGGGATGATTCTTTAAACCTAAACTTAAATTTGACAACAGTGTATCCTCGTCATTCTATATACAGAATGAAAAGGAGATACTGATGTTAAATTTAGTTTTAAGTTTAGAGAATCATGCCAGGATCGACACCATTGTATGTTTTTCATTCCAATACTGGTCAAATCGTAATATAAAAACTAGGTCCAGTAACTGTATCCGTTCCTCATAATTAACTTTTACATAGTTTTATTACATTTTGCAAATTTTTCTATCTCACATAGATTATATTGATTTTGGAACTCCGTATTTGTAACTGATGAAATTTTATGTACGTTACTATTTTTAAGGATGTTTAAATATCAGATCTCTTGGTTTATACAGTATTTAAAAATTACACGTCATTTAAAAGACTGGGCTTTGTAGTTTTTTTTGGAACGAAAGTTCCTTACCGCGGGCTTGGAGGGGATAGGGATTTTGCTGCGCGACCGAACTGAAAAAAATGTGATAGTAAAACCGTAAGAAAAAATGCGTGGAATAAAACCATTAAATGAGACGTGCGCATAGGGGGTGGTAGAGCGACGAGGGTGCATCACTGAAATATTGTGATATTACAGCAACACTGAATATGTGTGAAGTTATAGGGGGTGGTAGAGCGACGAGGGTGCACCACTGAAATATTGTGATATTACAGCAACACTGAATATGTGTGAAGTTATAGGGGGTGGTAGAGCGACGAGGGTGCACCACTGAAATATTGTGATATTACAACAACACTGAATATGTGTGAAGTTATAGGGGGTGGTAGAGCGACGAGGGTGCATCACTGAAATATTGTGATACTACACCAACACTGAATATGTGTGAAGTTATAGGGGGTGGTAGAGCGACGAGGGTGCATCACTGAAATATTGAGATATTACACCAACAGTGAATATGTGTGAAGTTATAGGGGGTGGTAGAGCGACGAGGGTGCATCACTGAAATATTGTGATACTACACCAACACTGAATATGTGTGAAGTTATAGGGGGGGGTAGAGCGACGAGGGTGCATCACTGAAATATTGTGATATTACACCAACACTGAATATGTGTGAAGTTATAGGGGGTGGTAGAGCGACGAGGGTGCATCACTGAAATATTGTGATACTACACCAACACTGAATATGTGTGAAGTTATAGGGGGTGGTAGAGCGACGAGGGTGCATCACTGAAATATTGTTATATTACACCAACACTGAATATGTGTGAAGTTATAGGGGGTGGTAGAGCGACGAGGGTGCATCACTGAAATATTGTGATACTACACCAACACTGAATATGTGTGAAGATATAGGAGGTGGTAGAGCGACGAGGGTGCATCACTGAAATATTGAGATATTACACCAACAGTGAATATGTGTGAAGTTATAGGGGGTGGTAGAGCGACGAGGGTGCATCACTGAAATATTGTGATACTACACCAACAGTGAATATGTGTGAAGTTATAGGGGGTGGTAGAGCGACGAGGGTGCATCACTGAAATATTGTTATATACACCAACACTGAATATGTGTGAAGTTATAGGGGGTGGTAGAGCGACGAGGGTGCATCACTGAAATATTCTGATATTACACCAACACTGAATATGTGTGAAGTTATAGGGGGTGGTAGAGCGACGAGGGTGCATCACTGAAATATTGTGATACTACAACAACAGTGAATATGTGTGAAGTTATAGGGGGTGGTAGAGCGACGAGGGTGCATCACTGAAATATTGAGATATTACACCAACACTGAATATGTGTGAAGTTATAGGGGGTGGTAGAGCGACGAGGGTGCATCACTGAAATATTGTGATACTACACCAACACTGAATATGTGTGAAGTTATAGGGGGTGGTAGAGCGACGAGGGTGCATCACTGAAATATTGTGATACTACAACAACAGTGAATATGTGTGAAGTTATAGGGGGTGGTAGAGCGATAAGGGTGCATCACTGAAATATTGTGATATTAGACCAACACTGAATATGTGTGAAGTTATAGGGGGTGGTAGAGCGACGAGGGTGCATCACTGAAATATTGTGATACTACACCAACACTGAATATGTGTGAAGTTATAGGGGGTGGTAGAGCGACGAGGGTGCATCACTGAAATATTGTGATACTACACCAACACTGAATATGTGTGAAGTTATAGGGGGTGGTAGAGCGACGAGGGTGCATCACTGAAATATTGAGATATTACACCAACACTGAATATGTGTGAAGTTATAGGGGGTGGTAGAGCGACGAGGGTGCATCACTGAAATATTGTGATACTACACCAACAGTGAATATGTGTGAAGTTATAGGGGGTGGTAGAGCGACGAGGGTGCATCACTGAAATATTGTGATATTACACCAACACTGGATATTTGTGAAGTTATATCAAACTGTCGACCAGTAACGCCTGTGAGACATGATTATGATTACAAGTTGAGTACTTATCAGGAGGTAGCAGGGCGACGGGGGTGCATCACTGGATTATTGTGACATTGTAATTTATTCCAAACTGTGGGCCAGTCCTGCCTAGCATCCTTTACGAACGCTAGCGGGACATGATAATAAGGTGCGTATGTAGGGGGTGGCACAGCTACGAGGCTGCAGCACTGGAATATTGTGACATTACACGAAATCTGGATATTTGTGACGTTATACCGAGCTGTGGACCAGGAACGCGTATCATCTGCTGTAAACTTAAGCTAGACATGATAACAAGGTCAGTACTTAACAGGGGGTGACAGAGCGACGGGGGTGCAATCCCAAATTATTGTGGCATTATACCAACACTGGATTATTATCGTATATTATACTAAACTGTGCTTAAGTCCAGGGAGTGGCAGAGCGACGGGGCTGCACTGCATTACTGGATTATTGTGACATTGTAGTTTATTATAATCTGTGGGCCAGTCCTACCTAGCAATCTTTACGAACACTAGCTGACCGAACTGAAAAAAATGTGAAAATGTGATAGTAAAACCGTAAAAAAAAATCCGTGGAAAAAAGTGCGTGCAATAAAACCGTTAAATGAGACGTGCGCAGGCGCGACGAAGTTCCTTACGGCAGGCTTGGAGGGGATATGGATTTTGCTGCGCGACCGAACTGAAAAAAATTTGATAGTAAAACCGTAAGAAAAAATCCGTGGAAAAAAGTGCGTGGAATAAAACCGTTAAATGAGACGTGCGCAGGCGCGACAGTCGCATACACAAGCGAGTTTGCAATTTGTGTCGATTCTACATTAGCCGAAGGAACTTCGTTCCTACCTGGTGTCCCACGACACCACATCATTTTTATTTTATTAAAATACCAACCAACTGAGTTGAGAACCTACTTCTTATTGAAGGCGGTTCAAATGAACCTTTGATTGGCCTCTTCGGAGTTAAAACTTTATTTCAAAGTAAATAAAATAGTAATGTATTTTAAGTAATTTTTTTATGTTATAGGGGGCATACGAGCATACGGCTTACCTGATGGTAAGTGATCACCGTCGCCCATGGACACTTGCAACAACAGGAGTAGTATCACAAATGCGATGCCGGCTTTTAAGGAAGGAGTACGCTCTTTTTTTGAAGGTTTTTGGGTCGTATTGGTCCGGAAACACTGCTGGCGACAACAAATTCCACAGTTTTGCCGTACGTGGTAAAAAATTTCGACAAAAACGCACGGTTGTGGATAGCCGCACGCATCAAGATGATGGGGATAAAATGTTGAAACGATGCGACATCAAACAATCTAACCAATCAGCGTTCACACCCGAGAGAAACGACGCAATCAGAACCAAGTCTTGGTCAAGTAATGAGCATTTGCTCACACATAACTGTGGCGCTTGGGTGTGGCGTTTCTTAAAGAAGTGGGAGTCACCGTTAGGCTGTCCAATTTCTGCTTGCGTAGGATCCTCGAATTCTTCGGTCACATAGCAAGGAAAAAAAACGATACCGTAGAAGTGCTCCTGGTGACAGGAAAAGTACAGGGAAGGCGACCGAGAGGAAGTAGCCCCATGCGCTGGACAGAGCAGATCCGCGACAATATCAAAACTGGAGTCCGCGATGCACTCCACACTGCGGAAGACCGCAATAAGTGGAAAGCGATCGTCCACAAAATAATTCGTGGAGGTCACGACCCTCAGCAATGAGGAGCACGACACAAGGAGGAACTGTGGCGCGCCTGCCCCGCCCACAAAGCCCTCTCAACCTCCCTCTGTGTTCTGTGGAAATAACATTGGTTGAGTTCAATGCTATGAAAACCCCGGTCCGTGCTTTCTCGAGAAAAACGTCGCCTTTCTTCCCTTTCCTTCTTTTTGGGGCACAGCTCTGTCGCTACAGAGCATCACCATGCTGCATTATAAAAGATCAAGTTTGCTGTGCGCTCTTTCTTAAATCCAAAGAACTATTGAAATCGTTTTATAACAGAGCCCTATGAAGATTCAGCCCTGAATGAGGTGCAGCGTTGCCAAACCAATCAAGGTGCCGGGGCACCAACAAGCTGGTTTGAAAACACTTCTACAGCTAAGTATACCTATTTACACTGCACATTGTAACAGGTTCTTTTACCGTGCATGCCCATTTCAAAAGACATCTTCTTAACTTGGGTGTTATGCACAGCGCCTTAAGCAGAGGATGCATGGAGACAGAAAAAACAGCTCGGCTCACGGAGAAACCTCCAAGAGGCAATCACCAATGTGAAGGCCCTGGGGGCGTTCCTGACGGAGCTGGGCTGGCTGTAGTGACTCCGGCAACTGACTGCCCTCACGCAAAACAGGCGCCATTTACGCCCGTTGCAAGAAGGTGCAGCGTTTTTTTCGCACTTGAGCAACTATGCTTGCTTTTCGTACAAGACGCAAGTGTGATCAAGCGTTGAATACCTATTGCTTGCACCTTTATTTGTGATGGCTCCGCCAAGTATCTTGTTATCTCACATTATTGGCGATGTGGTCGGTGACTAACAATCTCAAGCCTGTACAATTAGCCTTGTGATGTGGCATTATGATACACGTTCTATCGTCACTGCGACTTTCTAAGGAGTTATGCTCCCTTATCCCACCCGCCCCTTTCCATACCAGGCCCACGTGCCCTGGCCTGCACTTCAAGTTTATGGTGGCAACTGTATTTACGCTAGCAAATATATTTTTCATTTGAGGTCATTCATAAAGTACGTCAAACATTAAGGGGGAAGGAGGGACAAACAAATGTGACCAGCTGACAACAAAAACGGGGAAGGGATAAAAAAATCACAAAATTAGTGTGACCTACTTTATTGATTACCCCCCTTCCGCTTTGTAGCACTATCTGCAAATGGAATGCTTTGCTTGCACAGATGTTTCCTCTACATATATGAAATGAAATATATTATGTAGAGTTCTTTCCTCTTTAAACAAATTTCGTATTTCCATCCTATGGTTGAATAAGACCGCCAATTGTCCACCTCTTTAAACTTTGTACTTTGTTCATAATGTGGTGTGTTCAATAAAAACAAATCTATCTAAATATTCCTCCTACAGCTGAGCAGAGCAACTTGGGGGCAAAAGGTATGGAATTCAGTCACTAATGTTTAATTACCAGTCATTTGCTCAAACCAAGTTATAAAAAAAAGGAGACTCAATTTATATCCATCCATCATGACTGATGTCCATATTTAAACAAGTATGTCCATATTGTTTAAATGAAATTTCAAACACAAACATTGAACATAATTTATTTTGTAAAAAATGGTTTCAATGACTTTCTACAATTTCATCAGCATTTTTTTAACAAAAACTAGTTTACAAAATATATTGCTAAAGTGAATCAGACTACTTTTATAAGGTTACAATTAACATGTTTATAAGAAAAATTTGATCCCATGATTTTGTTATAAATTTTAATGTAATTTAGACTCATACTTTTTATATCATTGGTACATGCTTAATTTCATACTAAGTTAACACATTCACAAATTTTGTTAGTGACCTAATTTAGCTAACATAATTATTCTTAGCCTGAATAGCATGAACACAATATGATACAGCAATATTTATCTATATTCAGTTGTCAAATTGTATACTGATACTCAGATATTGATTTAAACCACTGTATCAAAACATGCTGTGTGATTATGCTACTGGGCGAAAGACAACAAAAATAATTATAGATGCACATTGAGAACATATTAATATTCTTGAGATGAACTATTTGTAGCCTGACTTATTTGACTCTTCATAAAATTTTTTTTTGGCAGCAACTGTGGTGGGATATGAGGTATGACTCCGCCTTGAGAAATTGTTACGCCTTCAAGCATGCGGTTTAATTCGTCATCATTACGAACTGCTAATAGGATATGCCGAGGTGCTATCCTGTTGAAAAAGTAAGAAAAATTGTAAACAATCCAAGCAAAGGTAATAATTTGACTGCAGTACTGGTTTCATATATACCTGGTTCTGACATTATCAGTACAGGCCTTGCCAGACAACTCTAATATTTCTGCTGTTAAATACTCTAACACTGCAGAGAGATAAACAGATGCACCAGCGCCGATACGGGGAGCGTAATGTCCAGAGCGGAGAAATCTGTGTATTCTTCCAACTGGAAAACTTAGACCTGATCGGTAACTTCTCGATTTTTTTTCAGTACCTGAACGAACTTTTGATTTCGCTACAAATGAAAACACTTAATCAAACGGAGGTTACTAGCATAGGTACAGAAAAGAAAATGTAAGTATTTAAACTTACCAGAAACATTCTTGCGACTCGACATTGTCACTTTTTGAAAACTTCTACTTCTTTGTATGCCACCTAATTTTGAAAAGAAACAGTATCTTTTTATTTAGTTATCTTCAAAAAAGACAGATGTTTGAGTATTAATAACAAAACTAAAAATTAAAACAAAATTGCAGTGTAACAAACAAAATGACAGTAATAAGCGCGGCAATTTTTTTTTCTAGTTAAGTTCTCCCTTTTCAGGGAAGGCAAGGCGAACAATGCCCATACAGCCTAGTCTTAAGTTAAATTATTCTGTTTTTCTTTTTACATTCGAATGTCGGTGTGACGCATTCTAATGTTTCTTGAAGTATTTGGCACGAAATGTATCGAGCTGGCTTTTTCGATAAGCTTCTGTGAGGTAGTCAATACTACAATAAAATTCTCACGTCCACTTGACCGGAACAGCGTATATTTTGACGATTCTACTAATTCTTCAGTTACGCAGACAGTTGTAACACAAAATCACACCAATTTTATTTCACAATATCCACTATGAACGAATTTAAGAATAATTAAAATAAGCAATTGGGACAATCTAGTGAGCAAGGGTGGTCGCGCGCTCCTGCCGCCCTGCCGCATGCCCGATTTAGAAAATTGCCCCAACTTGCCTACACACACCGGAGGCAATTAAGGGTCATCCCCACTCTTACACCCTAGATTGTCCCTGCGGCAGGCATGTCAGTAGGCGCTTTAATTGGAACGTGAATTAGTTTTCAAATGCACCAGCAGAGTGCGCTAAGTTCAGTGTTGAAAAAAAAGTCAATGTTTGCACCTTCATCCATACTTATATTTATTGAAGTTATACTTCTTTAGCCGCGTTATGAAAAAATTATGAGAGTGAAATTTTCATCACTGTAACACAAAATTTTAACATAATGAAGTTAGCCGCGGGCGCGTTATTTGTAATATTTTATTTTCCAAGTGACCGTGGGGCAGATTTGAACAAAGCAAACAGGGCAGATTTGAACGGGACATTGAAATGAAATGAAATGAAATGAAATGTCATTTATTCAGTCTAGGCTGTTACAAGCACTTGTGAAGGTCAAGAAGCTACGCCATCGGTTCGCAAAACTACGGCGGGAGACCTTGTACTGAGAAGAACCGGCAAGAAACTCAGCAAGGGCTGTTTTTTTCTCCCTGTATTGTTATATACAGTGTCGTCAAGTTGAAAAATTACTTCAGAAATACGTCTGAAGTCACTTTCCATTACATTATCTAGAATATAAATATATAGTTACAATTAATTTTATAGTTAACATTTTAAGTAGTATATAGGAAGCGGCATTAGATAGGTACAATATTACTGTTATGAAAAATGACTAAGTGGTTAATAATCCACCATTATTAGACATCTGTTCGAAAGGTACTTTGAACGATCCACGGAGCTCCATAAGATGATCGCGTTGTCAAAAACAATGTTGGCACGCTCGTCGCCTCTGATCACTGTTTTCATATTTATAATATTTATGCACATGTTTCTAGTTTCTTTATAGACACAACGTGTTTTAGTTACTTACAAGTGCTAATTACATATGGACTAATAACTTAAATTCAGTAGTGATTTTAATTGAATATTTTGAATATTTATTTAATTTTTCAAATTAAAACTGAACTTAATTGACTGTGTTAACTATCCTTTTCCAGTCTTTTTATTATTTTATTGTAATTATTAATTATTTGCATGCAATTAAAAAATATTTTAATGATGCTAAAGAAGTATAACTTCTCACGCGCGTACATAAGTTACACGCATCCATTTTTTTTAACACAGTTTGAATTAACTTAGATTATTTAAAAAAAACTGCAATGAAACGAAAGCTTCAAAAAATAATATTACTAACGATATTAAATAACACTAGTTAATTTTCTGTCACTGAGTTGGTACGACTGTACGCATCACACGAAAACATTACTTTTGAGAGTGCTCGATTGTGCGAAGCTAGTTCACAGAGTACCTTAATATAACCGCAGTAGTTGAAACATTCAACGCTAAGCATTATGCCGCATAATGCGCTCTAGTGCTGTAATTGGAAAACTACCACTACTGCTATCATTTAAATCCAATTCACTCACTAAAACCAGTCTGCCCAAGGCGAAACCTTTACAATATTGCGAGGAGGAGAATGCATAATGTCTGCATTCTCCTGTTCTTCCTCCTCGCAATATTCACATTTAGAATCGGAGTCAGGATTTAGCCGTTTGAGATTCCAGGCAAACGGCAATGACCGAATCGTAAACGACAAATAGTGGACACAAAGTTTCTAAGGTCAGTATAGTCATTTGCTTTATCTTGATATCTTGATACCACGGCTGGACGGACAATGGTGTCGATTCTAGCATGATTCTCTAAACATAAACTTAAATATGACAGCAGTATATCCTTGTCATTCTCTATACAGAATGAAAAGGAGAGACTGATGTTAAATTTAGTTTTAAGTTTAGAGAATCATGACAGAATTGGCACCGATGTCTTTTGTATGTTATGATACCAACTACCTTTTTCATTGCTTGTGGTATGCCAATGATTTTCCTTTAGCGTCTTACGAAATACGAACGTGGTAGTCGGTGTACACGGTATTTTTAGGGATATGTGTGATTTTCATCATGATCACTTCGTGTAATAGCTGTTATCTGTGATGCCGGTACTTCTCTTGGCTATTCGTCTTTGCTATTTGTAAACTTGACATCAGTCTGTTCTTATCATGTTTCACAAGGAATGAAAAGGACAGACCAATATTATGCTTACAAATAGCAAACATGAATAGCAAAATGCCAGGCTTTCATGATATTTTTTTGTTTCCAAATGTGACGAAACGAAGTTTTCATTCATTCTTATTCACCGCAAATGTGTTGGGAATTGTAAAAGAAACCTAAATAAATATCTGCTGAGAGTACTGTTATGTGTAAATCACGATATTTGTTAATTATGATCAAAGTTTACAAAATATAATATAATTGAGAAAGAGATTGTGCTTGTATTTGGAGTGCTTATTACACCGAAGTCATAAAGTTAGGTTATTCATGCGATTTACTAGTTTCCGAGATGAATTTCAATAGATCTTCCAATTGGAACTTTAACAATAGGGGCCGTAGAGGTCGAGGTGGACGTGGCCCAGGACGAGGAGGATTCGATCGCGGTCACAGAGGAGGACCCTGGGGGCGTAATAATTACAGAGGGCCACCACAATATGAGAATAAACCGTACTGGGGTGACTGGAATCAAGATTATTCAGGACCGGCAAATAGACACATGAACCAACAGTGGCAGAACAGACCTAAAAGAGACACACCTGGGGAACGGTTGTCAGAAGAGGATATTGGCGTCACGGAGTTTGTTAGTGATCATGAAGGATTTAATGGTGTTATCAAATCTAGGTAAATACAGCCTATATTTTAGAGCATTCCTAAATAGGGACTATGAATTAATTCACTGATCCATGTTCATTAAATGGTTGTTCTGTTATAGTCGGAGAGCCCACTGCGAAATATCTACCCGAATCGGCCTTACGGACAAATCGTGTACGATTCGATGGGGAATGTGGTCGTGATAGGGTTGCCGGACATGATAAACCCTGTATCTTGACCGAAGGGTCGAAAAAAGGGCCACTTCCGGTCAATTTTTCGGGAGCCTGCTACCCGGATAAAACTTACAATCAAAATTAGTGCCAATCGATAGGGGATGTTGAGCACTTTAAGGAAAAATCGGGTTGCCACCCCCCACCCTGTCAGGGGTTGCGGCAGCCACCCTTAAGTGTGACCCATTTTCCTATTGCACTACCCGGATCGAACTTACGATTTTTTTTTTTCCAAATCGAAGCTTGAACTTTCCCCAACACGAAAAAATAGGGTTGCCACTTCTGACCTTGACCAGAACAGCCGTCAGCCAGCCCCGAGTTACCCAATTTCGAGGTTCCAATTTCGATCGCAATTTAACTACCCGCATCGAACTTACGATTTCTTTTTTTTTTAAATCGAAGCTTGAATTTCCCCGAACACAAAAAAACGAGGTTGCCAACTTTGGCCTTGACTGAAATTTTTTCTGCCAGTGAATTATGGCGTCAATATTAATTTATTTTATTTTGGAGCAGATCGAAGCGTTGAGATCGTGGCAACAGTGTAACGACAGCAGCTGCTACGTCCTCATGTATTATGGGGTCTTTTCAAAATTCCCAGGTAGAAGGGATCTATCTGTTTTCGGTCTAGCAAAAAAAAAATTGCCGGGTTATTGAAATAGAAGTAGATATGTGTCGTTACGCGTTTTCTAAATAACACAACGAAACGTTACCGGCGTTCTCACAACGTTGTCGAAAACGTCTATTTTAAAACGATCTATTTTACAACCACCACGCAAAGTCAATATGTCGACTCGGCGAGATTGCAAATTTTTCAAAAATTGTACATGAAAAATATGAATAGCGACCGTCAGAAAGTCTGACAAGAGTTAAAGGTTTTGAGTCAAATCTGATTCCTCCGTGTTGGAAAACTTTGAAACAAAAAATCCTCAGGTCAAGCTTCATTAATGCAATGTGGCTAAATGCGACGAATGAAGTTTGCATTAAATTCAACCCTCAAGAATGTGGATGGATTCTCCATAATAAACTTGTCCCTCTGTGGTATCAAGGAGATCCAACCCCGTTGAGAGTAGAAGACATTATAATCATAGAACTGACTCGAAGCAATGATAATGAGGATTTTGCGGTTCATAGTTCCGACTCCGATTCCGAATGAGTTTGCCGTTAAGTTTTAATTGTAATGATTTTATATTTATCGTAATTGGAATTGTAAAATTATGAATGAATAAAACTGTTTGTTCATGTCATACAAACCCATGTTTTTCAATCCACGCCTCTACCAACCTGCCCAAAGATTGTTCATTCCTTAATGAAATAAAAAAAAAAAAAAACTGATTTTCTAATGTTTTTTCATGATTCGTTTCGATCTGCTCCAAAATAAAATAAATTAATATTGACGCCATAATTCACTGGCAGAAAAATTTTCAGTCAAGGCCAAAGTTGGCAACCTCGTTTTTTTGTGTTCGGGGAAATTCAAGCTTCGATTTAAAAAAAAAAAGAAATCGTAAGTTCGATGCGGGTAGTTAAATTGCGATCGAAATTGGAACCTCGAAATTGGGTAACTCGGGGCTGGCTGACGGCTGTTCTGGTCAAGGTCAGAAGTGGCAACCCTATTTTTTCGTGTTGGGGAAAGTTCAAGCTTCGATTTGGAAAAAAAAAAATCGTAAGTTCGATCCGGGTAGAGCAATAGGAAAATGGGTCACACTTAAGGGTGGCTGCCGCAACCCCTGACAGGGTGGGGGGTGGCAACCCGATTTTTCCTTAAAGTGCTCAACATCCCCTATCGATTGGCACTAATTTTGATTGTAAGTTTTATCCGGGTAGCAGGCTCCCGAAAAATTGACCGGAAGTGGCCCTTTTTTCGACCCTTCGGTCAAGATACAGGGTTTATCATGTCCGGCAACCCTATCACGACCACATTGCCCATCGAATCGTACACGATTTGTCCGTAAGTCCGATTCGGGTAGATATTTCGCAGTGGGCTCTTGGACTATTAGCAGTGGCCTGCTATAATGCCCAGCATTACTGGAAGGTTCATTTGGTAGTTTTCGACTTAGGTAAGGCCTCACTGTGTCTTGACCACTGCAGGATTACTATTGATAGCAGCTATTTGTTCTAGTGCCTATCTCACTGCAGTTAGGCTCATTTCAGTGCAGTCAGGCCTATCGCACTGCAGTCAGGCCTCCGTCACTCCATGTACTTATGATCAAATGGTCAGGTGCTACGTAGTAACTATTAAGTAATCTGTGCTGCGGTGAAGTAATGTTACTTCAGTGTGTACTTATTTTCCTTGTCAGAGATTCATAGTGTTGAGTGTTAAGGCTATATTAAAGTTATACTGTTTGACATCGCAAATGCCTATGGTTTACTGTGGCCACTTACCATATATTTATCGCCTACATTACCTTAATTTAAAAAAAATATTAATAATCACTTACAGATATTCCGATTTCCAAGTATCAGAAATAAATGATGACGGCCAAGTGGCAAAGTTGACTGATGAGAATCCTCCCACTCCACTTGATGAGACAGTTGACGAAGATGAAGATTTGCTCCTCACTAAGTACAACCTCGAAATTTTGCCAATGGATACATGGGACAGCATTAATAAGTTGGTGGTGTCAAAAGGAGAACCTACAGATAAAGTAGAGGTATGTATTTATAGCTTAAACTAAATTCATCATCGTGATCAACATATTCATTTCCCTACTGCTGGTGTAAAGTCTTCCTTATGGATGTAATAGGAAGGTTGGGCTATGATCCACCACATCGTCTCATTGACTTAAGCCATCTGCTACATCTGATGACTGCAGATGTAGCAGATGGCTTAATATGTCTTCTGAAGCAAGGAGGAGGAGTTTGAGATAGTAACTTTTATGGTCAAAGTTCATCTTTTGCACCATTGAGCTCCTTAAACTATATCATTTCCCTATTGTAATGTGAATATTTACATAATTTGTTTCCAGAGATAAGTAATACTAAGATGATATACCCAAAACTGTTTAATAACTCCCAACTGAATTTCAGCTTTATTATTCTTCATGTAAGATTATTTATTGACAATTTTGATGGTTTGTGTGTGGCTGTCTCTTATAAATTGCTATATTTAATTTGATTTTTTCTTTACTAAACAAAATTAGGCAATTTTAATACCAAAACAAAATACCTATGAAGATGCATAAAAGTAATCAGAAGTCTATCTATATATATAAAACTCAAAGGTGACTGACTGACATAGTGAGCTATCAACCCACAGTCCAAACCACTGGACGGATCATCCTGAAATTTGGCATGCAGGTAGATGTTATGACGTAGGCATCTGCTAAGAAAGGATTTTGATCAATTCTACCCCCAAGGGGATAAAATAGGGAATGAAAGTTTGTATGAAACTTTGTCAATTTTGAACCGATCAGGCTGAGACTTTGCATGCAGGTATAAGAAGAATCATAGATGAATGTCATTGTGTATAATACAAGCCTGAGAACAAAAAATGTAGTCTACACTTCAGCTCTACACCGAAGCGAAGCGAGGGCGGGCCGCTAGTTATTAATAATATTAAAATAAGACTTGTCACAATAGGCATGTAATAATAGACTAATTAAAGGGCGACTAAATTTATTATTTTTAATTATAAGAGGTGTGCAACATCACTCCATGTATTTTACAAAACTTACAATCCTAATCTTCAGATAGACGTGACTGGAATGACAAAGGAACAAAGAACTAAAATACATGATGCAGTCAAAAAGGCTTTTGGCGACAGCATAGTTGGCAGTACTGTGAATGAAAATGATAAGAAAATAGTTCGCTTTGTCAGATACCGGAAAGGAGGTAAATATCACTTAAGGTGACTAGGAACATGACTATGTTGATGTCACTAAAAATGAATAAATTTAATTATCCATTTAAAATTATGTTAATAAGTGTGCAGTTTATAATAAAAAGAACTTCTTTGAAGTCATCCGAATCTCTATGAAATTTTTTATGTATATTTTTTCATATATAGATATAACTAACCAATGTTACTATTTCTTGCTCTGCCAACAAAGCAAGGGCTACAAGGTGTGAATATTTGTGTGTAGTTAAAGCACTGTGCTTGGGCTGGATAGGGATCAAGAACAAACTCAGAAAACATTAAATAAAGAGTTATGTTAACTATGTTACCAACACATTTAAATTATTTTGGCAAAAAAATATAACTAAGGAAATACTAAGTAGTTATGTGGGGTGCCACCATGGAAGTCTTGTTTGTAGTGTCTTTTAAATGAACACATTAGGATTCAAAGAAAACTTTTGAGGCATCTTTCTAATTAGCAACAATCATATGATGACGCAATGCAAGCTTGTCTCGTGATGAGTTCACACTTGAAGATATCGACAGAAGTCTCCTAATACAGGTTGTAAGCCTTTGCACGAGTACAGGTAAGTTATACTACCGCGGCCCTAATGGCCGTGTAAAACGCTGAATTCTTTCTAGCATTTTTTAGGCTGCAAGGCAAAGAAAAAACAATTACCAGATATAATATTTATAATAGCCTAGATAATGGAGGGTGTGGGTTCGAGTCTTGTCACTGCCTGGTACTCATGGTTTTTTTTCTATAAAAAATTTTCAACAGTTACAGCGGTACATTATTTTCATTGCACTACGAGATCATATCGTGTCATCATATGATCGTTGCCAATTTGGAACGCGCCTTACTGTTCTTAATAGTGATATGAAATTAAGTTTAAATTTTTCATTCCCAGTGCGCATAGACAACCGAGTCAAGTGGACATGGCCAGGAGAATATGTGTACTTCATAGTACACAAAGAGAACTGTGACACAATGGATGCGGCTGCGAGCATTGTTGAAAAGTTGAGGATAAAGTAAGTTGGCGTCTCTTTAAAAAGCTATTTGGTTTTTCGAGATCCTAAGATAGATAGGAGCTCGATGGCGCAGGTGGCTAGCGCGTTCGGCTGCGATCGTTGAAGTTAAGCAACTTTCGCAGTGGTCGGTCATTGGATGGGTGACCAAAAATTTACTATCTCGAGCTCCTCCGTGCTTTGGAAGGCACGTTAAGCCGTTGGTCCCGGCTGCATTTGCAGTCGTTAGCACCCACCAATCCGCACTGGGCCCGCGTGGTGGGTCATTTCCCAATCTCCCTATTCCATCCATAGGGAAGGCCTGTGCCCCAGCAGTGGGGACATTAATAGGCTGATGATGATGAAGATCAATAGATAGATAACACTTTATTGTGCACACCACATAAAATATTACACACTAGGACAAAACTTAAAATAGTGAACAATTGGCGGTCTTATCGCTATATAGCAATTTTTGCCAGACAACCATAGAATGGAGAGATGAAATTTAATGAAAGAGGGGGTGTGCTAATATAACAAATACAAATAATTACAATAAAAGATTCACGATTAAACATACTCATATATATCACTATGCAAGTATACAAATATTAAATGAATGAGTAGAGAGACGTACACATACATACATGCATACAGTTGGGACAACACAAACAACTACTGTGAAAGGAAAAAATGTAAGGAGGTGTTGTACAGTAAAAGACTTTATGTAATTCAATCACTTTACTGGATAGATTTTACTAGAAAAAAATCCACATGGACCAGGCAGCAGACGGGACTCGAACCCGCACTCTCCGCTATCAGGGCGGATGTACTGACCATTATGCTACCGTGGCCCTGATGGCCGTGTTGAATTTTCTCTTGTATTTCTTAGGCTGCAAGGCAGCGTCATCACTTCGCATTGTAGGTAACCCACAATGTCAAACAAGCCCTGTCTGCTGCTTGGTCTGCATGGAATTTTCTCTAGTAAAATTTTCTATCTATACATCCAGCAGTTAAAAACTTAAAAATAAAACTGTAATTGCTATTTCTTCTTTAAAAATTTTATATATTTCTAAAGGTGTTTGTTTGACATTGTGGCTTACCTACAATGCGAAGAGATTGCGCTGCCTTGCAGTACGAGAGAAAATTTGACACGACCATAAGGGCCGCGGTAGCGTAATGGTCAGTGCATCCGCCCGGATAGCGGAGAGTGCGGGTTTGAGGTCCGTCTGGTCCGGATTTTTTTTCTAGTAAAAATATTATTTCGATTTAAATATCTAGCAATTAAATGCTTAAAAAATAAACAATATATAATTTTTCTATGGGTTAAATCTGGTATCAGTTCAATTGAGATTAAGCAAATTTGCCTTAATAAATATTGTTACTTGTCGGAATGGGGTTCGAAATTATATGCCAGTTCACGCTTGTCAATTCTTTATACCACCAAACTGTTCACACAGTTAACACACAATTTTAATCACAATACGCTCACTATACACTGTACTTCACTATACAAATCTTTAAAAAAGCGTACTTAAACACTTTACTTGCACTTTGATCACCTTTGGATTCGTTCCGAAGTCGCTGTTGGAACTCAACTGTTATTGCCATTATCGCCTTGGAAGTAAAACTGTCTGCTGCGCGGCACCGATCGCGCTTATATACGCCAATCGACGCATTCTAGAAAAGACCCGTTAATTTGAGAGTTAACTAGCACTGGCGAGTGCGTAGTACTTAATACCTAAGTAGGTAAAGCGCATAAGTTTTAAACAAGTGCATATGTCGTTGCACTTTCACCCTTACGCCGCACTGTATAAGGATCATATTACATCCGTCTCCAGTATTTTCACGGTTCTGTACCCTTAGTACGAGTTTGAGCTCACGAAAACTTTCATAGTTTTCGTAATTGTAAATTCTGTTTCTATGTTCATTTTAGCGAAAAGTAACCAATTAAACTTAAAATTTAAGAAGACGCAAATGATTTAATGATAGAATTTAAACACTGTTTATTTGTATTGAAACGAAAACAATAAAATAAATAAGGGTACTGCCTCAGTGCTAGTGCGAGCTCTCGAAAACTATCATAGTTTTCGTAATTGTAAAACTCGTACCAAGGGTACTGTTTCGATATCGTTTGTGAGAATATCTAAAATCGCCCCTCATTCGTCGTTAGCATGAAGTCGTCTATGTTCGGATACGCGGGCACGAAAGATCGACGCGCGAAAACTTCACAGTGGTTCAGCGTTCGGCGCATGGACCCGCGCAAACTTCACGCCGCCACCGCGGCCGCGCCCAGGATACGCGCCGGGAACTATTCCTTCCATTCGCGACCACTCAAGCTAGGCATGCTGCAGGGTAACAAGTGAGTGACTTTAAATAATAATAATAATAATCGTTTATTTCAGATAATTATAGAATTATAATCCATAGTTATTAGTACAAGTTAGTGACAATGTCGGGCTTATCCTATGTAAGTAGTATTAGTATATTAATTAATCAATCGTTACCAAATTATCCGCCGTATTAATTATATTCATAATTATAATCTATTAGCAAACCAGTGAACCAAATGTTCACCAAAAAAAAAAAGGTATTTAATTAATTGAGAACTTCGGAGATTTTGTGTGGTTTCGTTTGAAATAGAAATCACGTGATTTCTCGAAAACCGGAAGTGCTACTCACATCCGGTTTGTAGTCTTATCAGACTATTCTTAACTTATAACTTAAACATTCTCTATATCTATCTCTTACGGTTTGGCCGCTGAAACAGCACCACGGACGGACGGACGGACTTGTCTAATAGATAAGAGATTGTACATGTCAATTAAATTAAGTTAATAATTAATAGAAATAGGTACGACAATATTCATGGGTGTAAAGTATGTAGGTGCACCCAGCGCTTCAACATTGGACTGTCCCAGCGTGCCGCCAATGTTCAATTTAAAGCTTTCATGGGAAATAATTTTGTGTATAAACTTTTTTGTTAAAAAATAATTGTATGATTTTGCATAAATTAATAAATAAATTAGTGCTATAAAAGACAGTGAATAGGGGTGATGACAGGTACAGTAAACGAAATTCTATTTAATCCGTCAGTTAGATGATCAAAAAATAATGGACGCGAATTTTTTCTTTGGGCAATCAACCAAAAAATGACAAAGTTGTAGCGCGTCAAAGTTTGGGAGTAGGGGCTCGTGACGTCACTTTTGAGTGAATTTTCACTTAAAAGTGTACTCAAACGTGACGTCATGCGACTTTTCAAACCGATATATCTCTGCAATGTTTATATTATATGAAAAAAGAAAAAATACGTGTCCAATACTTTTTGATAATCTACCTGATAAACGAAGAAAAAAAATTAGTCATCATCCCTATTAATAAGTCAAACCCTTAGAAATGCAAATTAATGTGTTGAGAAATCTATTTAGTGATTCATTGCGTGGGAATTTGAGAGGTAAAGTGTTTGTTTAAATTCGTTTGAAACAGACTATAAGTAGCACTGAGGAGCTCGATGGCGCAAGTTAGCGCTTTCGGCTGCGATCGTTGAAGTTAAGCAACTTTCGCAGTGGTCGGTCATTGGATGGGTGACCAAAAATTGACTATCTCGAGCTCCTCCGTGCTTCGGAAGGCACGTGAAGCCGTTGGTCCCGGCTGCATCTGCAGTCGTTAGCACCCACCAATCCGCACTGGGCCCGCGCGGTGGGTCATGGCCCAATCTCCCTATTCCATCCACAGGGAAGGCCTGTGCCCCAGCTGATGATGATGATGATAAGTAGCACAGATCAACACTACCAACCTCCTCCTCCTCGGGTAACATCCCAGCAACAACTGACTAATGTGGATGTCTAAAGTTTCAGAAACAGTGTTTACGATAAACTTTTTTTATAAAGTAGAATGGTGAACGTCATAAACAGCTTATCAACAAAATATGTTGCCGAATGAATGCGCGGCATAAAAGTGACCTTATATTTAAATTTCAGGGTTTACTACAAACTAGTGGCCCGCCCTCGCTTTGCTTCGGTGTAGAGCTGTAGTGTAGACTATAGTTTTTGTTTATACACAATAGCTTTCTTCATAATAATTATAAACCTTCCATTCCAAGTAAAAAATTCATTGCGTAGTTTAGGACCCAACATTGCTCTGCTGTTCCGATTTGAAAAATTCTTTTTGTATTGCATTTGCATTGACAATGCATTTATCGAGGAAGGATAGGCTATACAGGGTGGTTCAATTAGTGACGTCAACATTTTTTTTAGATTCCCTGCACCTGGGGGTATCCGAAAATATCCCATGTATGTACCGCGATTTTCTTAGTTTTGGAGTTATATTTTTTTTGTCTATTTTAATGATTTTTGCCAGCGCGGTTTCAAAAATTCATATCTTTTTTTCGTAGTAGGTATTTTGCAGTCTTTTTTTTTGACAATTGTCTTGAATGTTGTTTTAATCCCAGCTTCCTGAAATGACTTAAAGTTACTCAAACAATCCTTGAAAGTTGTAACTTTAGTTTTTAGTAGGAATTACTCAAAAATTCAATTTCAATTTAAAAATACGAAAACGAGTTTCCATAGCTTCTGGCTAAAATTAAAAACTCCGCATGCTTCTAAACTACCAAAAATCATGAAAAAAATTGTAAAGAAAATATAACTAGAAAAAATTCCACGCGGACCAGGCAGCAGACGGGACTCGAACCCGCACCCTTCGCAATCCGGGCGAATGCACTGACCAATTATGCTACCGCGGCCCTCACGGACCGCGTCGAAATTTTTCTAGCCATTCTTAAGCTGCAAGGCAGCGCCATCTCTTCGCATTATAGGTAACCCACAATGTCAAATGAATACTTTTACAAGTATTAAACATTTGAAAGAAGTAATAGCAATTATATATAGTTATAAATTTTATTATTTTAATAGCAGACGGGACTCGAACCCGCACCCTTTGCAAAGGGTGCGGGTTCGAGTCCCGTCTGCTGCCTGGTCCGCGTGGAATTTTTTCTAGTTATATTTTCTTTAGATTTAAACATCAAGCAGTTACATGCTTTAAAAATAATAAAATTTATAAAAAAAATTGTACTTTATCAGAATTAAAAATTATTTTATCTACTTTTTATCATTTGTTATGGTAAATTAAATTTAAAAATGGAATTTCAAATTAAATTTAATTGAAATTCTTGTAAAATAACTTCAGCATGTGGAATTTTATAATAATTTCGGTTTCACCACTAAGATTTAAAATGCGAGTCCCCTTGAAAAGTTCTGTAAAAAGGTCCACAACAGCCTATGTCCATATTTTAAGTTTGACTCGCTATTAACCTTTTTCTTCAATTTAACGTGGGTGTAACCACAGGGGACCTCTAGTTGTGACATAACTGTAATATTCGTTGTTAGACATATAGTCTCGCGGGCTTTATTGTAGATATTGGTTAATCCCCCTATTCCATCCATAGGGAAGGCCTGTGTCCCAGCAGTGGGGACACTAATAGACTGATGATGATTAAGATTTTTACCTCCGTCAGGTGCCGTATAACTCTCCGCAATGTGATGGTAGATGAAAATAGGCTATTTCACAGTATGAAAATAATGTAAAACTAGCAAACCAGTGAACCAAATGTTCACCAAAAAAAAAAAAATGTATTTAATTAATTGAGAACTTCGGAGATTTTGTGTGGTTTCGTTTGAAATAGAAATCACGTGATTTCTCGAAAACCGGTAGTGCTACGTTACTCACATCCGGTTTGTAGTCTTATCAGACTATTCTTAACTTATAACTTAAACATTCTCTATATCTATCTCTTACGGTTTGGCCGCTGAAACAGCACCACGGACGGACGGACAGACTTGTCTATTAGATAAGAGATAATGAACATGATGACGTGACCGAAAATGCCTGGGATTGGCCAAGACTAATATGACGTCACACACTAGTAAACTTCCGGCCGAAGTGACATTACATTGTATAGTTTGACTTTTTAATGACAGTCGACAGTGTATGTGATGTAACACACTAGCTAGACTCCATAATGTTCAGAGAATCGTTTTAGCTGCAACTTGAAAATTTAATTTTTGATTTAACTAATTTTTTACAGTATCACACAGCATAAATTAAAAGTATCCACTTTTGATGGACTCTATAAACATTATTAAATAACGTGATATATTCTAAATGATGTAATGGAAGGTGATCTCAGAAGTATCTCTTATCTATTAGACAAGTCCGTCCGTCCGTCCGTCTGTGGTGCTGTTTCAGCGGCCAAACCGTAAGAGATAGATAAAGAGAATGTTTAAGTTATAAGTTAAGAATAGTCTGATAAGACTACAAACCGGATTTGAGTAACGTAGCACTTCCGGTTTTCGAGAAATCACGAATTTCAAACGAAACCACACAAAATCTCCGAAGTTCTCAATTAATTAAATACATACTTTTTTTTTAAATCAGGTTTTGGTGAACATTTGGTTCACTGGTTTGCTAGTCTCTGAAATAATTTTTCAACTCGACGACTCTCTATAATACAGGGAGAAAAAAACAGCCCTTGCTGAGTTTCTTGCCGGCTCTTCTCAGGACAAGGTCTCCCGCCGTAGTTTTGCGAACCGATGGCGTAGCTTCTTGACCATCACAAGTGCTTGTAACAGCCTCGACTAAATAAAAGATATTTGATATGGATAAAAGTTGTCGAATACCCTATTGAGTGAACGTAACGTTCGAATTACTTCGCAGGCGTGGCTTCCTCAACTTCTACGGATTGCTAATGCGGGGAGAATCTCGTTTCATTTAGTCTTAAATTTCGTTTTATCTTTGCTTCTTTCCCCCCATCAGTCGAATTACTGCGCACGCGCAGCTTCCTCAACTACTACGGATTATAATGCGATTCAACTAAGAATAGGTCCGACTGGGCGCCATATTTTGACGTCATAGCTGTCAATACAAACCAAATAGGTAGAGTGAGCAAAAAAAAATTTATTTAATAAAACTTCTAACTAAGATTAAGTGAAATAAAACATCAGATTTTTTTATTAAAATATATACTAAGATTAAGAAAAAAACAACCAATTTTTAATAATATTTATTTATTAAGACTACGTGAGAAAAAACATAAATCAGAATCTAGCTCTTCAATTCCGCTCATCTCTGCATAACCACCAGAGTAGTTATGAATAATCATGCACTATTACTAGGTCAAATACGAACATGCATCCTTTAGGTAAACGAAAGTTTTAAATTGAGTTTCTGAACGGAACTTAAAGTGACATTTGGTTGGCGGTTTAGGTTATCAACCATTCATAGCCTAAGCTCAATAAATGAAAAAAAAATTCAAACAATATTAATTATCAATATTTCTTATTGTTTGTTTACAAATGTGTGGTTTTTATTCTAGAATTAGCAGAGTGTTAAAAAAGGGTCTTAAGATTTTTTTGCAAACCGTGCTTTTCAAGCGACATTTGACAGTTGGAGGTCATTGGCTTTCCTATTCTTATTTGAATCGCATTATACATGCTGAGGAGCTCGATGGCGCAGGTGGCGAGCGCGTTCGGCTGCGATCGTTGAAGTTAAGCAACTATCGCAGTGGTCGGTCATTGGATGGGTGACCAAAAATTTACTATCTCGAGCTCCTCCGTGCTCCGGAAGGCACGTTAAGCCGTTGGTCCCGGCTGCATCTGCAGTCGTTAGCACCCACCAATCCGCACTGGGCCCGCGCGGTGGGTCATGGCCCAATCTCCCTATTCCATCCATAGGGAAGGCCTGTGCCCCAGCAGTGGGGACATTATTAGGCTGATGATGATACATGCTAATGCGGAGTAAATCTCATTTCATTTAGCCTATACTTTCATTTTATCTTTGATTCTTTCACTCCGTCAGGTTCCGTATAGCTCTCCGTAACGTGACGGTAGATGAAGATTGCGTGATCGCAGCGTGCGAATTACTGCGCACGCGCGGGTTTCTCAACTACTACGGATAGCAATTAGCTAATGCGGGGAGAATCTTGTTTAGTTTAGTCTTAACTTTCATTTTATCTTTGCTTCTTTCCCCCTATCAGTCGAATTACTGCGCACGCGCAGCTTCCTCAACTACTACGGATTACATGCTAATGCGGGGAGAATCTCGTTTCATTTAGCCTATACTTTCATTTTTTTCTTTGATTCTTTCACTCCGTCAGGTTCCGCATAGCTCTCCGTAACGTGACGGTAGATGAAGATTGCGTGAACGCAGCGTGCGAATTACTGCGCACGCGCGGTTTTCTCAACTACTACGGGTTGCAGCGATTCGGGACCCGACGACATAGTCCCACTTACACAGCTGGGTTGTTACTGCTGCGGGGAGATTTAAAACAGGTGACTATATATATACTGAGGCCCACAAATTTCGTAAATAGCTCCGTAATCGTATCGCCATCGTCTAATTTTGTATGGCTAGTTTGTTCTTGACGATGCAATACGTTGTGGAGCTGTAAAAATTCGTGCTTGGGCCTCTGAACAACATATCATATAGTTCGATGACGCAAATGTTTTGCAATGGCCACTAGTCGGATGGGTGACCAAAAATTTATTAGCTCCAGGCATGTCTAGCTTTTGGTCTCGGCTGCATCTGCAGTCATTTGCCAATCAACCAACCAATCCTTTGTAACCATTTTGTTATTAACTTAAAGAATCTAATAGAGCAGGAACACCCAGACTTTTTTTTATTGTGACGCATGAGCCATTTTGCGACTCCCAGGTCAAAAATTTCTACCAGTAATAGCCTGTTCTAGCCTAGTTACGATTCATCAGTTGTATCAAATTTATCATTGGGTACTTCTGTACCCTTCCAACACAGTACTCTCTCTGTCTCTAGTATGAATACATACTCTGAAAACTAGTATGTTTATGTAATAAATAAATCAGTAAAACTCCAAATGATATTTATAACTTTAATTAGAAAATAAGTATAACATCAACGATATTAAATACCCTAGATACACTACGTGCGCTAAAAATGTACCCCAATCCAGAAGTGCTTGAACTCCGCTTAAGCACTTCTTGGTTCACAGCCACGCGCGGCCCGTTGAAAAGTCAAGATGCCGTAGAGCTCCGTGAAAAAATGCGAAAAAAATACTTATAGTATGTAAAGTATTGTTTTTTCAAAAGGTATCTAATCAATGTTTTTTAATTTAACGAATTTGAAGCAAATTTCATTGTCATGGTCATTGGATGGGTGACCAAAAATTACAATCTCGAGCTCCTCTGTGCTTTGGAAGGCACGTTAAGCCGTTGGTCCCGGCTGCATCTGCAGTCGTTAGCACCCACCAATCCGCACTGGGCCCGCGTGGTGGGTCATGGCCCAATCTCCCTATTCCATCCATAGGGAAGGCCTGTGCCCTAGCAGTGGGGACAATAATAGGCTGATGATGATGATGAAGTAAATTTAGTTATAATACCTACTATAAACTGATTTAAGAGCCCTTTCACATCTTTTGCAAAAAATCGTAATTTTTGAGCGCCTTGTTTACCCCCTTAGAAAAATTTTTGACTATTTCCAGTAGAAGTAAATAGTAGATTTATTCTTCTTATTGTAAGTTAATGTAGAATATTTGCAAATACTATTTTCCTTTTTTGTACTAATCGTTCTACAGCAGCTAGTTTACGGAAACAACGATAATATGCACAACTTCAAACGCCTCAATCTCTCAATAATATTCAATAAATTAGATTAAATTAATTACTATGACATCATAAATATGTTTTTGTTGTAACATAATGTATTAGAATTTTGATTTTCTATCTCATTAATTATCAAATAAAGCGTCTAACCTCCGTGAGTTTTCCCAAAAAACAATGCAGGTTTACCCGTATTTTGATATTGAATTAAATAAAATTACTATCAAAAACTTTCAAAAAACTAATCTACCATTATTGAACTACTAAAATATTTATATATTTTTATAATTAGTTCATTAATAATTATTTTATAAGACTCGAAACATCACCCGTAAAATGCAATATTACTAGTGCAAATGTACCTACGCGCCGATCAGTACGGCAGCGGCGCAATTTTGTAAAAGGGCTCTTAATAGAAAATATTTGTGATATTCAAATGCATGGTCGGTAATATAGCCGTCTCTTTGCCTCGCGGTACGTACATGTCATATTGCTAACAGCGCATTTAGAATTGAGCGTAGAGTCAAAGAAATAAGGTCTATTATAGTTCCGCATGATATGCGGAATTATACTAATGAGTCGTAAAATTTTACGAGCTTGCATTTCGAACTGTTGTAAGTTCTTGACGCATGCGTTTTAAAAGACCTTATACAGTATGCATTAAAGGTGACTTACAATGTTTAAATAATGCCTTATATTGTTTCTGACTAAGCGATCATCTTACCCAGTGCCGAGGATCGTCCAATGTACCTTTTGGACAGGTTTCGGGCACGATTTTGTTCGTGTTGGTGTATCTAGGGTATTTGATATCGTTGTTGCGAACACACAAAAGACGCATATTCTTTTAAGCAGTTCTTTACTTCCCTTTGTTCTGAATGTAAAGGATACATTGTTAAATGACGAACTCCGTGGCCGAGCGGTTTGTAAGCCGGGTTTCATGGTGTCGCCGACTCGAGAGGTCCCGGGTTCGAATCCCGGTGGGGGCAGGTGTTTGTGTGATGAATACGAGTAATTGTACTCCAGTCATGGATGTTTAACATGTATTTCTATATAAATATCCTTATATATGTACAGTATATGTATTAACAGGGGTGTAAGGGGTTCTGAATACACCTGCAAGAACCCAAGCCAACCTCACCTTCACGCGGTGCACCCTGTTGACCAACAGACGAGGCTCTGGCAAACCGACCGATGGCGGTATAACCATCCAACGACGTAGGGGAGGAAAATGTCACTGGTGACGGGCAGCAGCGTCATCAGTAAAAAATGGTTGCCTGTAAAGTCGGTTTTACGGGCGAAGATTTTACGTGACAACGTCTTTTTCTCGGTAGAATATTTATTGATATGAATATAATTAAATTGCACAATAGGAACAAGGAATTGAATGAAAATAAGAATTGCACAAATTTTAACTATAGAAATATATTTTGTTTACTAAAACATTGTACATGTAAACTTAAACTTAACACGAGAGACTCATCGTAACGTTACCGAGCGTTACACTTTTTCATAAGTGACTCCCAGCCGCAACCTAATTTAAGACGTTGTCACGTCAATAAACCTACGCTCTGTGATCGCCAACCCGCCTGTCCAGCGTGGCGATTATGGGCAAAACCTTCATGCACAAGAAACTCAAGCCACGGCCCCCAGTTCCCGGCAGCCCCGCTATTCCTGGTCACGGTGGCGACCACGGTAACGGCGGGGCGGGGGGTGCCAACAATCTCCGGGCTACGGGAGGCCACCACAATAGACTGACCCTGGCGACGTACAACGGACGCACGCTACGGCTTGACTCGCATCTGGCGCAACTCGAGGTGGAACTTGGAAAGATTAGGTGGCACATTTTAGGGTTAAGTGAAGTCCGAAGAGAGGGGGAGGACACCGTAACCCTCGAATCGGGCCACCTAAAGTACTTCCGCGGGGGAGACCGACAGTCCCAAGGTGGCGTTGGGTTTTTGGTAAATAAGTCCCTTGCCGATAACGTTGTGGAAATGTCCAGCGTGTCGAACAGGGTAGTGTACCTTATTATAAAGCTCACCGAGAGGTATAGCCTCAAGGTGGTGCAAGTGTACGCACCGACCTCGACACACTCGGACGACGAAGTGGAGGATATGTTCGATGATATATCGAGGGCCCTCCACTCCACTACTAAGACCCACTACAACGTTGTTATGGGGGACTTCAACGCTAAAGTGGGAGTACAGAATTGCAGCGAATCGGTAGTAGGATCCCATGGATTTGGAAGCAGAAATCATAGGGGGCAAATGCTCGTCAACTTCCTCGAACGGCAGGGGCTCTTCTTGATGAACTCTTTTTTCAAGAAACAGCCCCAAAGGAAGTGGACATGGCAGAGCCCCGACACTATGACTAAAAATGAGATCGATTTCATCATGATGGACAAGAGGTACATATTCAGAGACGTCTCCGTGATCAACAGGTTCAATACCGGTAGTGATCACCGACTCGTCCGGGGCTCTCTGAATATCAACTTTAAGGCCGAGCGCGTCCGTTTAATGAAATCCAGGCTCCAACCTACTTTGCTCCAATCTATAACAGGATCTGAAACGTTCCAGTCAAATCTGGAGAACCGATTTGCTGCCGTGGAAACCATATCACACGTAAACCAAAACCTCGAAAATGTGGTTCGGATTCTCAGGGAAGAGGGTACGAAACTATGTGCAACGCAGCGTAAGGGCAGGAAGTCAAAGCTTTCGGAAGAGACTTTAGGGCTAATGAAGGAACGACGTGAAAACCCACCCGTCACTTCGTCGGCAAAGCGGACTCTAAACCAAGAGATCAGTAAGCACGTACGACACGACCTCCGATGCTCCAATACTCTCTCGATCGAGAGAGCGATCGAGCAGAATCGAGGGTCCAAAGTGTTCGTACAATCTCTTGGAAGAAGCCATCTGACGAAGTTGACCACAGCAAGTGGGGAAGTTGTTGCTTCAAAGCCGGCAGTCCTTTCGGAAGTGGAAGACTTCTACAGCCAGTTATACGCATCACATGCATCTCGACCTGATCCCGGAAATGAGGATTCTAGAGCCACATTAACACGCCACTTCACCGAAGACCTGCCAGAAGTCAGTATTGGCGAAATCGAGATTGCTCTTGGACAGCTTAAAAATGGAATAGCCCCTGGAGAGGATGGTGTTACAACAGAACTCTTGAAGGCTGGAGGTAAACCCGTACTGAGGGAGCTCCAAAAGCTTTTTAACACTGTCCTGTTCGAAGGGAGAACTCCGGAGGCGTGGAGCAGGAGTGTGGTCGTCTTGTTCTTTAAAAAGGGGGACAAGACCCTACTTAAGAACTATCAACCCATATTCCTTCTAAGCCACGTCTATAAGCTGTTCTCAAGAGTGATCGCGAACCGTCTTGCGCGAAGATTTGATGACTTTCAACCACCGGAACAGGCTGGGTTTCGGAGCGGATACGGCACCATAGACCACATCCACACAGTGCGGCAGATTATACAGAAGACTGAGGAGTACAATCAGCCCCTGTGCCTAGCATTTGTGGACTATGAGAAGGCCTTTGACTCGATTGAAATCTGGTCTGTCCTGGAGTCCCTGCAGCGTTGCCAAGTCGACTGGCGATACATCCAAGTGATAAGATGTCTCTACGAAGCCGCCACCATGTCTGTCCAAGTACAGAATCAGCAAACAAGTCCCATACCGTTGCATCGTGGAGTGAGACAAGGGGACGTTATTTCCCCGAAATTGTTCACTAATGCAATGGAGGATATGTTCAAGACGCTGAACTGGAAACGACATGGCATCAACATAAATGGCGAACGCATCTCTCACTTGCGATTTGCAGACGACATCGTCATCATGGCAGAAACCCTGCAGGACCTACAACAGATGCTGAATGACCTGGCTGACTCTTCTATACGCATCGGCCTACGGATGAACTTGGATAAAACCAAGGTCATGTTCAACGAACATGTTCTACCGGAACCGATTGCAATACACGGTGCCGTTCTCGAAGTTGTTCAAAAATATGTATACCTCGGGCAGACATTGCAGTTAGGTAGAAACAACTTTGAGGACGAGGTGAATAGAAGAGTTCAGCTAGGTTGGGCAGCGTTTGGGAAGCTACGTCAAGTCTTGACATCGTCGATCCCACAGTGCCTAAAGACGAAAGTCTTCAATCAGTGCGTCCTACCTGTGATGACATACGGAGCCGAGACGTGGACACTGACGGCACGGCTGATCCACAGGTTCAAAGTCGCTCAACGCGCTATGGAAAGGGCTATGCTCGGCGTTTCTCTGAAAGATCGCATCAGAAATGAGGTAATCCGACAGAGAACCAGAGTTATCGACATAGCCCACCGGATTAGCAAGTTGAAGTGGCAGTGGGCTGGCCATATTTGCCGAAGAACCGATAACCGTTGGGGTAGACGAGTTCTGGAGTGGAGACCGCGTCTAGGCAAACGTAGTGTAGGACGTCCTCAGGCACGATGGAGTGACGATTTGCGCAAGGTGGCTGGCAGGAGCTGGATGCGAGTAGCCCAAGATCGATCTGAGTGGCGTGCATTTGGAGAGGCCTATGTCCAGCAGTGGACTATGATAGGCTGTTGATGATGATGATGATAATATGTATTCTATCCGTTACCCTAGCATCCTATAAAACAAGCCTTACAGTGCTTACTTTGGGGCTAGGCTAATTGGTGTAAGTGTTGGAAATATTTATTTATTTAAATAATATGTCAGATAAATGCCCATTGTGTATGTATTTGTAGTAGGTAAGTATACTGAAAGTGTTCAACAAATGCGTATTTATTTAAATAATATGTCAGATAAATGCCCATTGTGTATGTATTTTTAGTAGGTAAATAAATATATTTCTAGAAGAATTGTTGAAACCATTTTAAACAGCTGGAACAGGATGAACAGTGTACCCCCCACTGTCATCTAATATTGCTCACGCTGGAAGTTCTGTAGATTTAGCAATTTTTTCCTTACACTTAGCTGGAATTTCTTTTATACTGAAAGTGTTCAACAAATGCGTATGTGTCGACAGGCTATCGACACTATCCTATCGACAGCCAGCGACAGGCGCGCGCCTCACGAAGCGTGGATGCTCAACGTATTGGCTCGATCGCCTAAAGACTACCTCGGCGCCTTGCAGAAGGTATGTGGCTACACACACAATTTCAAATCTTGCGGAAACATACATACTTAAGTAGGGTTACCGTTTATGAATTTCAAAAGTCCTGACAAAAATCCTGACATTTCGAAAAAAGTCCGGACTTTTTATTCACACAATGGTACAATTAATTACTTAGTTACAATAGTCTGGTATTTAAATCAATGTGTACTTTAATTATTCATATTCAATTTAATTCAAAAAAATGGGAAAAATTTAAGGACTACAGTCGGACATGTCCGGACTAATCCGGACGGATGGTAACCCTATACATAAGGCTACACACAATTTCAAATCTTGTGGAAATATACATACATAAGGCTACACAATATCAAATTTCGCGGAAATATACATACAGAAGGCTACATACAATTTCAAAGCCTGCGGAAATGAAATGGAAAATGCAATAAAACGGGCACAATGACTGTTGAGTAAGGTCCTGAATTGTAGCTTTTAAAGTTTGTTAATACGCGTCTGAAATTGACATTTAAATTATATTTTAATACAAAAGAACGTAAACATAATCGGCCATGCTGTTGTTGTTGCGCAGTTCCGTTTTGTTCGGAAATAAACATAAAAAAATTGTGTGTGTCAGCTCCGACGCACGACTGGAGTTTACTCCTTAAGTTCGATAGTCTAACCAGACGCAAAAAGAGTTTATTTAACTTAAAAAAGATTGATACTGTATGAAAGGGTAAATTAACAAATTAATGAAAATAATATACATATATAAATATATATTTATTCATTTCATATACATTTATTATAACTAATCGAGGAAATATTTTACATTAAACTTTTTACAATAGTCAATTTCAGATGTGCATAAATATATCATTAGGAATGTTGATAAATTATGTAATTATTATTATCAGACTATTATCATTTTTTTAAATATTAATTAAATCAACATTATCTGCATTATTAATTACAGTGAGAAGTGGTTTATGGTAACTAAAATAAGACACATGGACGTTCGTAGATACGTGGTTCACGAATCTTGAAAATACCGCATCAATGGTTAAATAAAACTAGTTTTTACGGGTTAATGCACGAAACTTTATTTATTTATTGACGTTTCGCAGCCTTTTCAGGTCTGCATCGTCAGAATAATGATTTTTTTTGTACCATACCTCGTTGTCCCCATTGCTCTATCAGAAACAATATCTGAATTCAGTTCAGATTTTAAAAAATTTATTAATGTTAATCCGTCATCTTTGTTTGTCAAAGTTGCGCGACATAGGATGCGCACCAAAAACGTAACGAGGTCATTCATCGATAGATTTTACTCCTCACATTTTCTCATACCGGGCCCTTATATATGCAAATCGATTCTTAAGGAGTAAACTCCAATTAAAACGAATTTCAAAATCGAAAATGGAACTAAAAAGTAAAATAATATGTGGTTCATGATTTGGAAGTCGGGCGGGTCAAGATTGCAAGACGTATTATAACCGATCAGAAACGAAAATCTATTTAATGTTTGAATTTTGATCCCGCCCGACTTGCAAATCATGAACGAGATATTATTTTTTACTTTTTAGTTCCATTTTCGATTTTGAAGTCGGTTTTATATTTTGTTTAAAAAAAATAATTACATCCATTTAAGTGAAAATAGGCTAGTTGACTCATGTCGAATTGTAATAAATAAATGTTTATTTCTTAAAGTATTTGGTCTAAGGAACTTAAATATATCAATTTTACTTCATAAAAGCAGAAGACTGCTGTAGAAAATTAATTTAAAAAAAATATTTTTAGTCTATACTTTTTAAACACTAAAAACGCTGTTCGCCACATCCGCCATGATTGTGACGTCTCTTTTAGTGAACAACTAAATGTCATTCATACATAATTTTAAAACTTGTAATAAAACTGATAATAAATGAAGAGACTTAAAATATTATTCAATGAGTACTTACATCAAAGTGATCTTCGCAAAAATAAATTTTACTATGACTCGATAAAGTGGCAGTTCTAACCAGGTATTGCGTAGGTTAATTTCTTTCGGCACTTTAATCCACAACTTTCCTGGAGTCTTCAAGGATGTGTTTTAACATTCTCGTACAATACAATAATGATAATTACTATATTTTTCGTGGTATTTATTAGAAATCATGTTTTTTTTTATTATAAACTCCGATAGGTTATTTTCTACGTGCTTACGAGTTTTTGTTTACTACCGTCGACGTCATAACATAGATAATTTATAGACTAAAATGGCCGACAGCGTTTTTGTATGTCCATGAAAAGTTTATTTTAAAATTAAAGATTTGTAGCTTTCTAGGTCTCAAAAAAATACAATACATTTTTTTTTCGGTTTAATAGAACATTTATGAACCACTTAAAACCTTTTTCCAAAAAGGGTCTACTAGCCTATTATATCGTCCAAGTAAACAATAACACAATTGACGGAGAAAGCAGTGAACATACATAAAAAATAAATACAGACGAACACAGAATCTCCTCCTTTTTTGAAGTCGGTTAAAAAGGAGGACCTAATATTTTTTCTTAGCTCCGCTTTTAAACAACTGTCGTTCATTGACACATAACTCATACATATTTGCCATAATTTAATCTGAGTTATTACCGAATGTTCACAATATTATTTAAATTAGAAATAAACCCGCGTAGTCAACCCAAAACCGATAACTTTGACATTTCGGAGACCTTACGCTACACAAGCGCTTCTAGCGGCTGTTTCATACGCGATAGCCCTTATTGTGTATCAACATTATCGACTGATATAATCTGTTTTACTTAACAGAAAAAAATACATTTTAAAACACAAATTTAAATTGAGTAATATATTATACAATACATTTCAAAATTTCTAAGGCCCGTATTATAGAAAGATTCTCAGTAATGAATCTAGTCTTGAGCATCGATAGAAAGGGATGTCGCTATATAGAGCACATAGCGACATCCCTTTCTAACTGTACTCAAGTAAAGATCAACACATAGTTGTCATTCTGTAATACGGGTCTAAGTCAATAGCCATTTCTTCATTATGTCAACACAATTACAATTATTAATATATAATAAGAATTCATCTAATATATAAAATTCTCGTGTCGCGGTGTTTGTGGTTAAACTCCTTCGAAACGGCTTTCCCGATTCTCATGAAATTTTGTGTGCATATTGGGTAGGTCTGAGAATCGGACAACATCTATTTTTCATATCCTTAAGTGATAATGGTTGTCCATCTGTAACGTAGTGTTTTCATATAGGTTAGGAATGTTATTCCAGGAAATCGATAGAACACTACGTTACACACCCCTAAAATTATTTTTGGACAATATTTATTTTTTCATAATGTGGTATTAAAAATACATACAACCCTAAATTTTCTCTTTTAACACCTGCCCCTATTTTTGTGGCGGTACGTAGTTCGCTGGGTCAGCTAGTTAATCTATACTTATAATAAATCTGTAGAGAGGTCAATTCTGTACATGAAATATATTTTCAAAATAACTATCAGGTGGTGATTAGTGATCGATACTGATGCCAAAAATGCAATCAGTAAAATTTTTGTCTGTCTGTCTGTCTGTCTGTCTGTCTGTGTGTATGTTCCTTATAGAAACAAAAACTACTCGACGGATTTTAACCAAACTTGGTACAATTATTCTTCATACTCCTGGGCAGGTTATAGTATACTTTTCATCACGCTACAACCAATAGCAGCAGAGTAGTGAAGGGAAATGTTGAGAAAACGGGAGAAGTTACTCCATTTCTAAGCTTCCGTCGCGTGTGGAGCCTTAATGGTTAAAGTTACATAGAAATCATATATGGCGAAAATATTCTACATAAAATTGTCTAAAAAATATCCCGCAACAACATATGTCTATCTTTTATGGTTGACTCACAATAACACGTGTAATTATATAAATAAAGTCATTGTTTATAGCACAAGCCTGAGAACAAAAACTATAGTTTACACTACAGCTCTACACCGAAGCGAAGCGAGGGCGGGCCACTAGTATTATAATAAGAATTCGTTTGTACTATAAAAACAATACTCCTTGATATTCGTTTACGTAGGTGCCTCGCAATACGAGACTTTTGTATCTACACGCGTACCAGTCGTGGATATGGAACCGCGCCCTCAGCGAGCGCATCAAACGGTTTGGCCTCACCCCGGCCGTCGGAGATCTGGTGCCGCTCGCTGAAGTCGACAAGGAAGGTGAGGGGTCTTGGGGTAACGATGCGGCTGACTGCCCATTGGCCCATACCTTATCGACAGCTGAGAACCTGGACAAGGGAGCGCTGTCGACGACAACACGATCAATATTGGGCAGACTGCAGGCAAGCTAGGGAAGCCGTTCCTAAGGTAAACCAGCAGCTATCACGTAAGTTAATCCGACTACCCAGACAAGCCCTGAAACATATCGTGGGTATACTCACGGGTCACGGGTACTTCGACAAACACCTTTATAATATAGGTATTTCTGACAGCCCTCTGTGCAGAGCCTGCTTGGAGGAGGAGGAGACGAGCGCCCATGTTCTGCTGGAGTGCAGAGGCGTTGTAAGACAAAGGACTTCTCTAATGGGAAGCCCGCGGACACTAGTAGAAGCCTGCAGCAACATCCGGGGACTGCTGATCTTTCTGGAGGAGCTGGGATGGCGGGACTGATGCCATCCCCACGCAAAATAGGCACTGGGTGTCGAGTTGCGGAAACAGCCCGACGTTCTACTAAGACTAAGGGGTCTTCCATAAATTACGTGAGGTGTTTTTTTGAATTTTCTGTTCCCCCCCCCCCCCCCCCCCTTCCTGGTGAGATGTCGTGAGATATTATTCAACCCCCTCCCCCAACCCCCAATCTCACGTGAGATCTTTCAAAACGTGTGTTTCTTACATAAACGCGTTGGATTCGAACGAATAAATCTTAAGCATGTACAGTCTGGATTAAATGGACCAAAATACCATAATTCTTTTTTGTATCAATCCGAAAAAACATTGCGAGATACCCCCCCTCTCTCCGACGTAAGATGAGATGAGATTTGACTCGACCCCCCCCCTTAAAAATCTCACGTAATTGATGGACGCCCCCTAAGTCGGTATGCTTTACACGCATAGAGGTATAAGAATAGAGTGGGGAAGGCGGCTCTAAAAGTGTCCGTCTAGTAGAAAGAGAAAGAGGATAAGAGTCCGCTAGCTATCTCTCTCTTGTGACGCATGGCATCCAATGGCATCACATCGAAATAGTGAGATGCTTACGGTTGCCAATGCGCATGCGCGAATAGAGAGAGAAAGATAGCGGTCACTCATCTTCTTTCTCTTTCTATTAGAGGGACACCTCTAGTTTATACCTCTATGTTTCCACGGCTCATCTGTCAAAGTGATTCTAATAGCATATGTATGAGTAATCGTACAGTTTATGTGATAAATAATATGTTCAGACAGTAACCTATGGTACTAACTTAGGTCATTATCATCAGCCTATTAATGTCCCCACTGCTGGGGCACAAGCCTTCCCTATGGATGGAATAGGGAGATTGGGCCATGACCCACCACGCGGGCCCAGTGCGGATTAGCGAGTGCTAACGACTGCAGATGCAGCCTGAACTAACGGCTTAATCGTGCCTTCCGAAGCACGGAGAAACACGAGATAGTAAATATTTGGTGACCCATCCAATGACCGACCACCGCGAAAGTTACTTAACTTCAACGATCACAGCCGAACGCGAAAACCGCTCACGCCTTCGGGCTCCTCTCTTTAAATAGGGATTAATTTGGTATATACAGATGCGATAGATAAAACCATGCCACCTTATTACAGCGTTGAATTTCGTTAAACTTCATATATTTAAACTGATGTTGTCTTTTTTGTTTCTTAGGTTTTCACGTATAATGCAATTCAACTAAGAATAGGACCGACTGGGCGCCATATTTTGACGTCATAGCTGTCAATTCAAACCAAATAGGTAGAGTGAGCAAAAAAAATCTCTGCGTTACCGTTATTATGAATAATCATGCAGGTCACATACGAACATGCATCTTATATGTAAACGAAAGTTTTAAATCGAGTTTCTGAATACAACATAAAGTGACATTTGGTTAACGATTTAGGTTATCAACCATCCATAGCCAAATCTCAATAAATGAAAAAAAAATATCAACCGATATTAATTATCAATATTTGTTATTGTTTGTTTAAAAATGTTTGGTTTTTAATTTAGAATTAGCAGAGTGCTAAAAAAGTGTTCCGAGATTTTTTGCAAACCGTACTTTTCATGCGACATTTGACAGATGGAGGTCATTGGCTTTCCTATTCTTATTTGAATCGCATTATACACCATTCATTAAATTAAACAAGTTTCGTCAATAAATAAATCAATGCATCTATGCCGTTAAAACTTGTTTAATTTAATGTTGTCTCTGTTTACTGAACAAAGGCAACGTTATCATTGCTGTTGTACAAATGACTATTTTTTAAATTACAGAGTTAGACGAAGACGAATCGGACGATGAAGACCAGTCTAACGAAAACAAGAAACAGGAGAAAAGTAGTTCCGAAAAGGATGCCAAAACTGAACCCGAAGGCCGAAAAGAGCAAGAGAAAGATAAAGACACAGAGAAAGAGAAGGAAAAGGAGAAAGAGCAAAAGAGACTAAACAACGACACTCCCAGACCTAAACTGCCAGTTAAAGTTTTAACGCAAGAGGATGTAGATAGTGGCGTTCATTCAATTTTCGACATTGTGATGCCTCTACCAGGGCACAATATTGATTACCCGCCGAATATGAAGGAGTATTATGAGGAATTGATTACGAAGGACGGTTTAACGCTGGAGTTGAGGCATAAGATCAAGTGAGTTGAGAAATTATGACTTTTTTTCTATACTGTATTGCATTTTGATTTGAAACAACCACTAAAGCTTAGAAACAGTTTGAATTCAATTCATACCCTCTTAGGGGCCGTTCAAGTATTACGTTAGCAGATTTATTAAAATTATTTACCCCCTCCTCCCCCTCGTCAGCAAAAGTAAGCAAAGCTCCTCCCCCCCATTCTTACGTAAACATTGGTACCTATATGCATTTTTCCTTTAATGTATTCTGTTTTTTTTATTGATTCATGAGCTTTCATGAGCTTCATGACCAGCAGTACTTAAAAAGGCTTAATCGATGATGCTGACGTAATCACCATCTCTACCCCCCCCCCCCCCCCAAGTCATCAAAAATAAGCAAAGCAGAGACCCCCCTGCCCCGTTATAGTGCTTACGTAATACTTGAACAGCCCCTTATTAATAAACAAGGAATAAGCTTACGCCTTGTTTTGTTCATGTCACACAAATGTCATTTGTCATTCAATAAACAGAGACAAAACATAGAGTAACTAATCCAAGAGTTGTCTTCGTTTATTATTTAGGGGGATAAAGTCGACTAAAATAGTTACTTTTTTCCTTTTATCTTCGTAAGAAAGCGAGACAAACGTATAGATCAAAAGCGCTTTCAAGGAGGCTCCACGAAATAAAAAAAAACTTGTAAAAGATACGCACGGTGACATGCATGCGAGCGTGCGGTAAAACGTTTTACCGCACGCTCCCTTGTATAGCCCGTAATTTTGAACTTTCGAACAATGTATACAACCTCCTTGAATGCATTTCTGAGCGAATGTGTTAAAAATAGATTTTCTTTACTTTTTCCTAAAGATATTTCACTTAATAATTTTATGATTACAGGGTATTCAGCATGTCTGGTGCTTACCGTTACATATGCGCCCGTCCGCGGGATATGTCGTGGCAAGTGGTGCGGTATAACGACCCACACGCAGACCTGATACTATCCGACGCCGACGAGATCGACGGACGGACCGACACCGGCATCGTTGAAGGTGATCTATACATTCTATCCATATACCACGTATCCATGTACCAATATTCGGCTTCTCGCTTCGCTTCGGTGCAGAGCTGAAGTGTAGACTACAGTTTTTGTTCTCAGGCTTGTATTATACACAATGACATTCATCTATGATTCTTCTTATACCTGCTTGCAAAGTCTCAGCCCGATCGGTTTAAAATTGACAAAGTTTCATACTAACTTTCATTCCCTATTTTATCCCCTTGGGGGTAGAATTGATCAAAATCTTTTCTTAGCGGATACCTACGTCATACCATCTACCTGCATGCCAAATTTCAGCCCGATCCGTCCAGTGGTTTGGGCTGTGCGTTGATAGATCATTATGTCAGTCAGTCACCTTTGAGTTTTATATATATAGATTGCATATTAACTCATCATAATTAGTTGTAAAGCCTTTATTAGAAAAAAATATATTCGGTCCTCGTATCAAACAGGGATCTAAACTCCGCTATCTGGCATAATAGCCCTTAATTTAAGCACGTACAAATGACTAGATGGCGCTGTTCTTAATATTTATTAATATCTTTTCTCTTTCTTTTCAGATGGCAAATACAAAGCACTCCTTCTAACAATGTCATTACCAGCTAGTTGCTACGCCACAATGGCTCTAAGAGAATTATTGAAAGTCGATACTTCGGGCGATAACCAGGCCTTAAAGAACAATTACTACAAGAGAAAGCGGGAAGACTCCAAAACCGAAGACGCGAATGATGCTGCAGACAAAGGAAGCGATAAAAATGGCGAAGAGAAGAGTGAACAAGACAATAGTGAGAAAGAAATGGCAGTAGATGAAACCGCAGAAGGAAAAGAGACAGAAAATAGTGAAGTAAAAGACGCAGATTCTGAATGTACAGAAGCTAAGAAAGCCAAAACCGATGACAGTGGCCAATAAAAAGTTAATCTAATTCCTTAATTTTAGTTGCTTATTTTTTTATAAGTGTTAACCGTGAAATTATCAAGATACTTCAAGGTCTTAAGTTATATTTATCCGTCAAGTAGGTAACGGAAAATAAAACAATATCAATGTGAGTAATCGTTTAATTATCACGTTTTAAAATAATCATAATAATAATAACAATCTTATAATACAACATGTTGAATGCGATTTGAACAGCGTTTAGTTGTTGCTTTGGACATAGTGTAATTAGTCGACTAAAATTGTAAAAATTGCTCACATATAAAAAGTCGACAGAAAGGCTGAAAAAAACTGACTTTCCATGTCTTCAAATTAGTTTTTTATGAATAGAATTTCTATTTTTTTTTAATTTATTAATAACTTAAACCATAAGATCTAGGAAGTTTTTGTATTTACATTCAACAAAGTTAGGTGAGCAAACCTTGTTGCCCCAATCATACTGAATTTATCAATAGTTGTGTGTTTCAACTTTAAAATCTCTTATGTACCTGAAACCACATTTTTGTTAACACACCTATAGGGTATTTGACAGTATTAAAAAAGAAGTGACAATTGTTAGCAACTGTGCTTAGAATGAATATTGGCAGAGGTTTTTACTATTTTTACAAAAAAATATTCATAATTTTACTAAAAACCCACGAAAAAGATAATAGTTTTCTTATCTATTGTCATGTGACCCAAAACGTTTGGGATTGGCGGAGCCTAAAATGACGTCACACGCAAGTAAACTTCAGGTTAAAGTGATATTACATTGTATCGTTTGACGTTTTAATAGTCGTGTGACGTCACACACTAGTAAGACGCTATATTGTCCAGAGAAACGTTTTTACGGCAACTTGAAAATGGAGTTTTTGATTTGGTTATTTTAACTGAAATACTGAATGATGAATATCATTTTTACGGACTTCATACATACATAAACATTAGTCAATAACGTGAGATCGTTTTCTAAAACTTGTCAAATACCCTATTGGAATACGTACCAATTTCCCTTGCAATGCGTTTTAAATTCTCTGCTCCATTGCGCAGATCATAAGTTTGCGTTGTTTTTAATAGACAAGGAATCGTTTTATGACAAGTTGACTGTTTGTAAAGAAACATATTAAACGCTGTGCAAATACATATTTAGAATCCGTGAAAGACCTGTAAAAGACATAATAAAAGTTAAAGAGATTTGCTGAAAATCTTAATTAAAATACGGAAACTGCGTATAAAGTTATTACTTAGACGCAATTTGTCATTGTCTCACATTTACTTACTTTACCCTTAGCGCGAACCAATATCGAATTCGTAACGTTTGCGAGTCCGAAATGTCATTGTCAAATGTGTACTGATTTTTAGTTCTCGTACTTTGTGTCGCTGCCGTTCAAATTTCCATACAAAATTTGAAAATGAAATTTCGGACTCGCAAACTATTCGAAGTCGTTGCTTGATGTCATCATCATCATCATCAGCCTATTAATATCCCCACTGCTGGGGCACAGGCTTTCGCTATGGTAAAATTGGGCCTGGACCCACCACGCGGGCCCAGTGCGGATTGATGGGTGCTAACGACTGCAAATGCAGCAGGGACCAACGGCTTAACGTGCCTTCCGACGCACGAATGAGCTCGTGATAATAAATTTTTAGTCACCCATCCAATGACCACTGCGAAAGTTGCTTAACTTCAACGATCGCAGCTGAACGCGGTAACCACGCCATATAGCTCCTCACCCACGCACACAGACAAAACAAAATAATTTGACAAATTAAATATCTGCAAATGAATTAAACTATCCCTTCATTGGTTAAAATAATGTTAAACGGAAATCCCAACCTATCCCGTGATCGGCGTGTTGATCGCATTTATTTCGCCCCGCCGACTTGATCGCAGTTTGCGTGGAACCACTTTTTAGCGGAGTTCGTATTCCATATGATTTGTTATTCGTTGGGCGGGGTTTATAGTAGTCATCATCATTATAATGTCTCCACTGCTGGGGCACAGGCCTTGCCTATGAATGGAATATGGAGTTTGGGCCATGACCCACCACGCGGGCCCAGTGCGGATTAATAGATGCTAACGACTGCAGATGCAAGCGGGACCAACGGATTAACGTGCCTTCCGAAGCACGGAGGAGCTCGAGATACTAAATTTTTGGCCACCCATCCAATGATCGACCACTGTGAAAGTTGCTTAACTTCAACGATCGCAGCAGAACGCGCTTACCACGCGCGCCATCGAGCTCCTTCTCTGACTAATTAAATATCTGCAAATGAATTAAGCGCTCCATTCATTTGGGTAAAACAATGTTAAACGGAAATCCCAACCAATCCCGTGATCGGCGTGTTGATCGCATTTATTTCACTCCGCCCACTTGATCGCAGTTTGCACTTTTTAGCGGAGTTCGTATTCCATATGATTTGCTATTCGTTGGGCAGGGTTTATAGTAGTCATACTCACGGTTTTTTTAAAATAACTGAGTTATTCGCTAGTGTAAAATATTTCGCAATAGAAGTAAAATCATAAACAAAAAAAAATTGGGTTTGAGTGTTAACGGTGTCGGGCGAGTGACCAGCGCTTCGGCGGTCCGTGCTTTAGGGCGGGCCACGCGCAGGTCAGTGGCCCTTCCGTGGCTTGACCACCAGCTATAACGTGCTGGTGGTGGACCACAGATGGAGAGAGAACAGGTCAAAGATGAGAGTGCCCTTCTTGCCAGAGAGAGAGGCATGATGGGCCAAGAGAGCAAGGAAGATAGAGAAGTTGATCAGAGGATCAGAGAGGAAAAGAAAGACGAAAATAGAAGATGGGAGGCCTAATGGCCGTTACTGAAACGCCTGCATATCAATCAGAAATCAGAAATCAATATATCTTTATTCTAATTGGATGTATAGTACAACACTTTTGAATCGTCCAAACATTTTTTTCCCTACCACTCGTTATCGGACATATTCTTTTTAGCTGCGGAGAAAAACGAGCGAAAAAAACTCCACAACATTAAAAGCATAATGTAACAACATTTACTAATCATTATGTTGTTACAACGTCAATACAATCATGATTTATTTAATATAGAACACCTGTTGGAATGATTGGAACAGTTCAAACCCAAGCATTTTTGTCTGTAATATAATCAGACACTTTGTAATAAGCTTTTTTAATAAGTGCTTTTTTATACTATCTTTGAATTTATTTATGCTTAACTCTTGGATATTGCTTGGGACTTTATTGTAATATAATATATATAATATTGTATACTCACGGTTAAACGCGCGCGTGCAGCGCCGTGTGCGCGCGCAGCTCGCCCGGCGTGGGGAAGGAGCGCGGGCACCACGCGCACTTGTGAGGCTTGTTCTGTGTACAAACATATACCCTCAGATTACAGAACAAAAGGCAGATAGAAAGGTGCGCACGGAGCACTAAATGCGTTCCACCCTTAGATAAAAACAAAAAGGGTAGATACGGCACTAACCTCACAAAAGTGATCCGCATAAATTGTGGTAAACGACGTACATGTGAACGCCAAAAAGAAATATATTTGTGTTTATATGATAAAACAATGCCTAAGTGTGTTTTTAAAAAGTGCTCAAATTGCTCAAGAACTAAAAATAAAACCCACGGCATCACTTTTCATTCGTAAGTACTATGAAATATATTTTTTCATAAAAATTGCTGTTTGTTTTGAATCTTATTCGGTAGTAACGTCGAGTACTTGTCGCCTGATTGGTCGGTAGTGCAGTGACGCGGATCTCGCCGTCTCGTTCGCGCTGCTGTTGAAACTTAACGTGCTGTTTCGTTCGGGTCGGTAATGCAGTGACGCGGTTCTCGCCGTCCCGTTCGCGCTGCCGTGGAATCAGTTTTTGTTTGATGCAAGTATGAGCGTACCGTATCTACCCTTTTTGTTTTAATCTAAGATGATGTTTTGGGGGGAAACGAGGTGCGCGGGTGGATGCAGCTATCCCTGATGCATTTTGTTCAGCGCTAAAATTACGTGCCGCGACCTGTCCACCATACGCATCGTGTTGTGAATACAAACCATGATTATTAATTTGATTATTTGTTCTGTAATCTGAGCATATACCATTAAACATCATCAGCCGGTTAATTTTGAAATCTTGCGCCCGGGGCTATTTATGATTTGCATTTTTGCATTCGTTACAGGCTTATATTGTAATTTGATTTACCCAAGAATTGGTAAATCAAATTACAATATAAGCCTGTAAGAAATGCCTTCATATGGCTTTTGCCACCCTTAGAAGCCCTTGCTAGGCCACAGCTACGCTACCGGCGGCGAGACGAGCGATTTTCCTGTACATTACGCGGCCGCTATAGCTTTAATATGACACTAAAATTAGCTGCTTCCCCTAAACAAAATGGAGGAAAACTCAACAACGCTTATGATTAAAAAAAATGGGTGCGTGTACTTATGTAGGCGCGTGAGAAGTTATCCTTCTTTGGCATCGTTTAAAATTAGTTTTTAATTGCATGCAAATAATTAATTACAATAAATTAATAAAAAGTCTGGAAAAGGACACAGTCAATAAAGTTCAGTTTTAATTTGAAAAAATAAATAAATAATCAAAATATTCAATTAAAATCGCTACTGAATATAATTTATTAGAACATATGTGATTTGCACTTGTATGAAACTCAAACACATATTCCGAATATACAAACTAGAAACATGTGGATAAATATTATAAATATGAATACCTATAACTGTTACTTTATTACAAAAAATAAAGATGTGGTTTTTGGTTCTACTACACCAATGGTCAAGAGATGGCGCTGTAGTCTCCTGAATCGCGCTTTGGTTCCTTTGTTCCAGATTAATAAATACTTTTGATAGGCCTTCACAATGCAGTCGTTAGCACCCACTAAATAGAGATTCTATTTCTATTTTGTTGGTAGATTTTCTTAATGTGCGGTAAACACAAAAGTAACAGCATGAAGTTGGTCGCTAAAGCGACCAACTTCATGCTGTTAAAATTTTGTGTTACAGTGATGCGCGCGCATCTTAAAATTTCACTCTCATCATTTTTTCATAACGCGCCTAAAGAAGTATAACTTCAAAAAAAATGGGTGCGTGTACTTATGTAGGCGCGTGAGAAGTTATCCTTCTTTGGCATCGTTTAAAATTAGTTTTTAATTGCATGCAAATAATTAATTACAATATATTAATAAAAAGTCTGGAAAAGGACACAGTCAATAAAGTTCAGTTTTAATTTGAAAAAATAAATAAATAATCAAAATATTCAATTAAAATCGCTACTGAATATAATTTATTAGAACATTATGTGATTTGCAGTTGTATGAAACTCCAGCACGTATTCCGAATATACAAACTAGAAACATATGGATAAATATTATAAATATGAATACCTATATCTGTTACTTTATTACAAAAAATAAAGATGTGGTTTTTGGTTCTACTAACCAATGGTCAAGAGATGGCGCTGTAGTCTCCTGAATCGCGCTTTGGTTCCGTTGTTCCAGATTAATAAATACTTTTGATAGGCCTTCACAATGCAGTCGTTAGCACCCACTAAATAGAGATTCTATTTCTATTTTGTTGGTAGATTTTCTTAATGTGCGGTAAACACAAAAGTAACAGCATGAAGTTGGTCGCTAAAGCGACCAACTTCATGCTGTTAAAATTTTGTGTTACAGTGATGCGCGCGCATCTTAAAATTTCACTCTCATCATTTTTTCATAACGCGCCTAAAGAAGTATAACTTCAAAAAAAATGGGTGCGTGTACTTATGTAGGCGCGTGAGAAGTTATCCTTCTTTGGCATCGTTTAAAATTAGTTTTTAATTGCATGCAAATAATTAATTACAATATATTAATAAAAAGTCTGGAAAAGGACACAGTCAATAAAGTTCAGTTTTAATTTGAAAAAATAAATAAATAATCAAAATATTCAATTAAAATCGCTACTGAATATAATTTATTAGAACATTATGTGATTTGCAGTTGTATGAAACTCCAGCACGTATTCCGAATATACAAACTAGAAACATATGGATAAATATTATAAATATGAATACCTATATCTGTTACTTTATTACAAAAAATAAAGATGTGGTTTTTGGTTCTACTAACCAATGGTCAAGAGATGGCGCTGTAGTCTCCTGAATCGCGCTTTGGTTCCGTTGTTCCAGATTAATAAATACTTTTGATAGGCCTTCATAGTGCAGTCGTTAGCACCCACTAAATAGAGATTCTATTTCTATTTTGTTGGTAGATTTTCTTAATGTGCGGTAAACACAAAAGTAACAGCATGAAGTTGGTCGCTAAAGCGACCAACTTCGTGCTGTTAATTTTTGTGTTACAATGATGCGCGCGCATCTTAAAATTTCACTCTCATCATTTTTTCATAACGCACCTAAAGAAGTATAACTTCAAAAATACTCTTAACAATTTTTCAGGCATATGCCAGCATAGCATTCTAATTAGTCGAAGAGAACTATTGAGTTATTCCTTAACGGCTACGAGGGACGATTTCAAGCCTTAATAACAAAAAAAATAAACATAGTATAAATAAAGTTTTTTTTTCTGAAGCACCTTCAAACTATTATTTTAGACCAACTACAGCAAAATACACAGGTCGTAAGTATTGTCACACAGTAAAAACGTTTCTTTTAGAATGCTGGCCACGAAAAAGTTTATTGAATTCGAATTTCGAATTGTTCATGAAGATAAAATGTATACTTTTTAGAATTGTACTCATTTTTAAATATGGAGTGGAAGCTTAAAGAAGACCTTGTTGCAGTTATTAAGTTGCATCGTTGTGGTTACGCGCCAATTCAAAATTTTGACATACTAAAAAAATTGAATATAACCAAAAGATTCGTTTATCGTACCATCAAACGATACAATGAAGACTCTAGTGTAGATGACAGGTCAAGAAGTGGTCGCCCTCGGTCTGTTAGGACTCCAGCAGTGATAAAAGCTGTGAAGGCGCGAATTCAAAGAAATCCCAAACGTAAGCAAAAACTGTTGGCCCTTCAGATGGGGTTAAGCAGAACCACGATGAAAAGGGTATTAAATGAAGACTTAGGGCCTCAGGCGTATCGAAGAAAAACAGGACATCATTTGAATGCTCGTCTAATGGACCTGAGACTGAAGAGATGCCACGCTTTGTTGAAGCGGTACGCGGGAAAAAAATATCGGGAAATTATTTTTTCGGATGAAAAAATTTTTACCGTAGAAGAGAGCTACAACAACAAAATGATAAGGTGTGCGTACACAGCAGTGAAGAAGCGAGTAACCGTATTCCGCGTGTCCAACGAGGTCATTTGTGAGAAAGGTGTAAAAACGAATGCAGTTGTGTATCAAAATACAGTCCTGACGAACCTTGTGGAACCTGTTTCCAGCACGAATACTGGCCCTCCTCCAGTCCAGATTTGAGTCGGTTAGATTACAAGATATGGCAACACTTGAAGGAAAAGGCGTGCTCAAAACCTCATCCCAATTTGGAGTCACTCAAGACATCCTTGATTAAGGCAGCCGCCGATGGTCCTCGTTCGTGCTGCGATAGACGACTGGCCGCGCAGATTGAAGGCCTGTATTCAAAATCACGGAGGTCATTTTGAATAAACTTTATTGTCATAAGAATCTATGCTTTGTTAAGTTCATTTTGGTATATAAATGGTTACATAATGAATAAACTTGTTTCAATTATTTTATATTAAACATGTGACAGAATTTAGAACGTAATATTGTCAAACTTTTGAGTAAATTTCACCTGTGTGCGCCGCCCCTATTTGTGTAGTGTTTAGTGTATACTGGTGTGCGGAAAGAACAGCGCTAATTTATTATAGAAATTATTATTGTTTTATTATATATTTTTATGTATAATGTAACTGCTAGATGTTTAACTATTAAGAAAATATACCTAGAAATAAAACTACTAGGTCCCGTCTGCTGCCTGAACCATATAGTTTATTTTAGTAAAATTCTTTAGTTTCTTTTTGTTTTACAACATCATTAATATACCCTGCTGGTAAACATAGGCTTCATAGATTTCGCACACAGTCATGACCCACTATGCTGGGACCGACGCCTTAACTTGCTTTCCGAAACACGAAGGAGTTTGAGACAATGAATTTTACGTCAACCATTTGCTGTAAATATTTATGAGCGCATATTTCTTCCGGATTCATACTTTATCCATTATTAAATAATGGTGCAATTTCACAAACAAGTAAAAAAGGAATTAAGTAAAAATGGTTGCCTGTAAAGTCGGTTTTACGGGCGAAGATTTTACGTGACAACGTCTTTTTCTCGGTAGAATATTTATTGATATGAATATAATTAAATTGCACAATAGGAACAAGGAATTGAATGAAAATAAGAATTGCACAAATTTTAACTATAGAAATATATTTTGTTTACTAAAACATTGTACATGTAAACTTAAACTTAACACGAGAGACTCATCGTAACGTTACCGAGCGTTACACTTTTTCATAAGTGACTCCCAGCCGCAACCTAATTTAAGACGTTGTCACGTCAAAATAACATTGAACAAAGAGTTACCTTAGTATGTGTCATTCGATGGTAATACAGGTTGGAGCTGGCTGTGAAGCATTTGCCGCATTCTGGACACTTGTGGGGCTTCTCTCCTGATATCAAAATAATAAACTCACATGATTCATCATGATGATGATAAAACTCTGTCTTGTTTGTAAGTAGTGTTTTGTTTCTGCTGTAGATAAGACAAAAATCATATTACCGCATATAAACAGACTAACGATACAAGATAGAACAATTTTTTTATTCGTTTACATGGGTACAGAAATTTCAATCGTTACCATGTACTCTTCCCATACATTTTTTGTTATAGCTTGAAATTATAAAATGTGTAGGTACTCCCATAACTTCTACAATAGCCACATCTCAACATCACATTAAGCATTTATAAGGTCTAACACCCATATTCTTAGTCGCGTCCTCAAACGTTCCTGAGGGCTCCTTAAGGAGTTCCTCCAAATAACCACGAAAATGATATTCTAGTTGGTATCTTGAACAAACTTGAGAATTCCTCCACTGAGAGTACAAACAAAGGTATAAAGCATAAAAGCATAGACATATGTGCAAAGTAAAATATCACACAACAAACATAGGTAAATACCTACTTGAAATAATCCTGTTACGTAAAACTTCAAAGCCACCAGTAATTGTTTTATAGGCAATATACAGGTAGTCCTCTGTTATTACAATTTAGTGTAATGCTTAGCAGAGGAAATATTACTTGTATGACTGTATCTCTCTAAACCGAAATCTTCTTTGAAACGAATCATTGTCGTAAACCTCAAAAGGATTTGCGGCGTCACGTAAATACCGTCGCACCGGATTATATGGTTCAACATCGTATACGTAAAAAATAAAATCCACCAATTCGTCAATAATCTCATAATCAGACATAATTCTCGATAAAAACAACTTGAAAATACGGTGTAGACACCGCAACGTGCTTACGCAGCTGCAGCCGCCAGCCGACCCGTTGATGCGGTTCCAAATTGCGAGCGTCGTAGTAAACAACCAACAGAGAAGAGTAGCAAACTCAGTATCCAACGTGCTACTCCGGCAGCGTCACAAAAGCGGATTTCCGACGAAGAGGGTTTCATTAAAGTGGAAAGGAAGAAGAGGAAGCCCATTCGCCGCAATCTGTGTGGTGCCGCCCCGACCGGACCGAACCATCTGCTGCGTCCTGCAATACCGACGACGCCGCTGTACGTTTCCCGACTGCATTACTCTACGAAGGAAGAGGAGATCGTAGAGTACCTGCGGATTAAGACCAAATTCTCCCTCAGAGTCGCACGGTTGGAGTCCCGTCACAATGTGAATTTTAATTCCTTTGTGGTGCGGGTGCCAACCGAACATCTGGCGACGTTCATGAAAGAAGATCTTTGGCCGAAAGGTGTTGTGTTCCGGCGGTTCCGAGGCCGGCTACCTGACACCACTCCGCGTCACACGTCGCCGTCTATACGTGTTAATTAGGTTTCTACTAACATAGTTATTATTATTTTTTAATTACTAACATTTAATGTATTACCTTTATATGTTAGACTATAAGGTATTTATCTATGGGCCTACGTTGCCTGACTATAAACAAATAAAAAATAAAATAAATAAAAATGTGCCCTGAATACAAACACATAATAAAAGGCATCGAACACGTCGACTCTTTCGATTTCAATCTTCACAATTGGATGAATGTTAATTTCGATTGCTCCGCTATGTGGGTGAAAAACGGACACGACCTCTTACAAGCTTTCGATGTACAAAGAGTATATTTAGCTGACACAAAAACAGACACTAAAATCCCAGATTATCGCCACTGGCAGATTCCTCTCGGACGTAGATTTAGAGCTATGAAATTATGGACCGTCCTAAGGATATATGGAGCAGAAGGCCTGAGAAGTCATGTTCGCAACTATATAAATTTAGCTCAATATTTCGCAAAATTAGCGCGAACGGATGATCGATTTGTGGTTGAACTACCAATAACATAACAACCGATTTAAAACGTTTTAAACAAAATGTTGCCGTTTTAAACCCCATATAAATCGTTTAAAACGGTTGAAAACTGGCATACAAAAATAAAAGAACTATGTTTTTTACACTTCATTTTTTTTTTTTTTTTTTTTCACACCAATTAGCCTAGCCCCAAAGTAAGCACTGTAAAGGCTTGTGTTATGGGATACTAGGGTAACGGATAGAATACATATATTGTACATATATAAGTATATTTATATGAAATACATATTAAACATCCATGACTGCAGTACAAATGCTCGTATTCATCACACAAACATCTGCCCCCACCGGGATTCGAACCCGGGACCTCTCGAGTCGGCGACGCCATGAAACCCGGCGTATAAACCACTCGGCCACGGAGGTCGTAAAAAATTATGGTAAACTTTTGGTCACCTGACGTCATGTTTCGTTTTACTTAGTAAGTAGGTATAAAGGAAATCAATAGAAAATACCTACGTACATGACCTAGGTACCACGAAAACTTAAGTAGGTATCGTAGGGTTACCAGATGAAAAAATCAAAAGTCCGGAGAAAAGGCTCGATTTCCAATGAAAAATCCTGAGATTTTTACAGTTTGAGAATTTTCTCTCAAACGTACTTAACAATTTAAAAAAGTCGTAATATTATCGTTTATATACATGCTGCCTATACTTTTAATTCAATATAATTTGAAGAGCTTAACTTGTGGGACATTTTATAAATCCATAATCAAAGAAAAAGCCTTATTTAAAAATGTATCATCACATATAATGGGTATACACGTCACATCACATATTATGTATGATAAAACTGATCAAGTACCTACTTAGATAAATAAGTACTGATTTTAACTGTGCAATTATTATCAAAGACAGATTATTTTTAGTTTAAGTTTTTATTCAACAGATCTTTCAAACGTTAGCTGTATTTTATTGAAAAATCAAAAATCTTGAGATTTCAAGAGATTTGCAACATGCAGCCGCAATCCTGAGAAGAGTCCAAAAATCCTGAAATCTCAGGACAAATCCTGAGATATGGTAACCCTATATGTAGGTACCTTCATACTTAAGCACTTATTTATTGTACATATATTATATAACACACACTAAATTAAAAATAAAAGACATCATTAACACAATGCCGCCCGTTTTACTTGCGCATGAAAGAGAGAGTGTGAGTGTAAGTTTGGTTTGAAAACGAATCAAATTGATTTAGTTGATTTTATTTATTTTTTAAGCATTTAATAGGGCCGTGGTAACATAATGGTCAGTGCATTCGCCCGGATTGCGAAGGATGCGGGTTCGAGTCCCGTCCGCTGCCTGGTCCGCGTGGTTTTTTTTTCTAATAAACTTTTCTTTTGATTTAGTTGATTTATATCTTTAGAAAACAATGTTTTTTTTATTTACAGATACACAGAGTTTTTAACTTATGATAAGAGTTTTTATAACTTAGGTAGGTAATACCTATGCTTGGTCGCGGATGGACCAACTAGAACTAAACTCGCTAAGTATATCAATATCAGTAAGTATATCACACATTTAAAAAATCTTTATACAGTTTATAGGTACTCCGTTATATTCCTACCTCGGTAAAATCAAGACAATGTAGTTATAATTAAGAAAAACATAGTCATCAACACCAACCGTTTTAAATCAAAAAAAAAATGGTTTATTTCGGTTTTAAACGGTTTTCTTTTTCGTTTTAAACGGATTGGTTTAATTGGTTTTAAACCGGCCTTTCATCTATAACCCGAACCATCTATGGGGTTGGTTTGTTACAGATTAAAGGGTGATGACGTAGCAACGAAAACTCTATTAGAAAAGGAGACCCGGCACTTTTCATAGAAAAAATGCTAAACTTGTATACAGTTAGTTGAATTTGGTCTCAAAATAAAACCAAAATTATTTGCTACATAAAACTACTTTTGCCTTATTTTAAGTGAATCATGGAAAGAAGTTATTTAATGATTAATATTTTTTGATATAGAAACCCTTTTGATGACAAACCTACGTATTTGACATTGACAGCTAGCTGCTGATGACAAATATTGCCAGACTACGTTACCCAATTATGAAACACAGATAAAAAAATTAAAAAAGTATACAACTTTAGCACAAAATGCCGGGTGTCCTTTGACAAAGAAAAAAAAAGTTTACATGGAAGCCGCAAGTTACAGGGGCAGATATATTCGATTTGCAGTCTGCTAACGAATTAAAAAAAAAAGACATTGAATTCAGTTGGAATAAAATCAAACAAGAGGCAGATATCGTACTCTCCAATGAAATACAAGGCAAAATGAAAATTCCAGCTTGAGACCACATAGAAACTGTTGTATTTTCTGAAAAATCCAAACAATAATTCGAAATATAAAAAAATAGAATTTAATAACCAACAATTATGTGTCCCAATGAAACCATTCATATTTTAAGTAATGATATTGTCTAAATACTCCTGTAATATGTGTTCTGAAAAGTGTAATGTATTTTTATAGCATTCTTGGATTTACTTTGATTAAAGCGATACATTAGGTACTTACCTATTATTAATATAAGGTACATTAAGAAAAATAAATAAATAATATTTCTAACACTCACACCAATTAGCCTAGCCCGAAAGTAAGCACTGTAAGGCTTGTGTTATGGGATACTAGGGTTACGGATAAGAATACATATACAGTACATATATAAGTATATTTATACAGAAATACATATTTGACATCCACGACTGGAATACAAATGCTCGTATTCATCACACAAACATCTGCCCCCACCGGGATTCGAACCCGGGACCTCTCGAGTCGACGACACCATGAAACCCGGCGTACAAACCACTCGGCCACGGAGGTCGTCAAATAGTCGTCAAATATAATAATAGACCAACATCAATCCAAAATTTACTTTTTATTTTTTTATATTTAGGTACTTTCACAAAATCAATTATTCGATACAGACGACAACAAAAAGTTAAAAACACTAAGGCCCGTATTATAGAAAAATTCTCAGTGATTGATCTAGTCTTGAGCATAGATAGAAAGGGATGTCGCTATGTGCTTTATAGATTTATTTTTATTTATTTATTTATTCAAAATACATTACACCATTAT